CCAGCTTCTGCAAACTCCAAACCGCTCTTGTCACTGTATCAACTCCGTCCTTACCTAATATCTCCCAACCTTTCACTCTATACTGCCAAAAACCGAGCAATAACCCTCGATGTTTTAGGACAACCGGAAAAAATTCCTCCTTTTTTTGCCCCTGTAACTTAACTCTCTAAACAACTAGATAACAGTCAAAGGGTGACCAACCTGTCTTAAAGCACTAGCAGTGGTGCCCATTTTAGCTCTAAAAGGCAGGAAACCAACTTTCAGCCAGAATACCACTGTCCACAGTCGTCATAATCTACAGGATCTCCCCTCCTCCTGAGCATTAGGCTCTCTTCCTCCTTCATGGATTCAATTACTCCATGCCTTTTTTTTTTTTTGAGATGGAGTTTCACTCTTGCCTCAGCGTCTTGCGTAGCTGGAATTACAGGCGTGTGCCACCACACCCAGCTAATTTTTGTATTTTCAGTAGAGACAGGGTTTCACCATGTTGGCCAGGCTGGTCCTGAACTCCTGACCTCACATGATCCACCCGCCTTAGCCTCCCAAAGTCCTGGGATTACAGGCGTGAACCACCGCCCCTGGCTTACTCCATGCCCTCTTTATGGAAAACCCCAAATTCAGTCTTGTCAAAAGTGCTCCCCTCAACACAGCATCCTCACTCCCTGTATATTCTTCGCCTCCTACTCATTCTTGCACTAGCATCCTAGATCATCTGCAACCACACTTTCCAAACATTTCCTCCCAGCCTCTCACCAACCCCAATGACCAGCCATTTATAAATAGCTCCTCTTCCGTGCCCACTGGCTCCCCCAAAATTGCTGGGTATGTGGTTGTTTCCCTTGACTGAGTAATTGAAGCTAAGGCCCTACCTTCAGGAACCTCTTCTATCCCTCCTCTCCACAATATACAATGCAATCCCTGCCTCAGCCTATAACTGGACTTCCAACCAAGTAACCTACCATCTCGAAATCCTCATTAACAGTCCCCACAAACTTGACATACAGGCATTAACAGAAATCTCCCCCCAGTTAACTAATGAGTTTGGTCCAGCTGTTACAACCTTACATCCCTATTTACACAACCTATCCCCCTACTGCAGCCGTGATAAACCCGTATTAGGAGCCATAACAACCCACACAATCTTATTCTATCCAGCACTACTGTGCGTACAACGACATCTACCCTCTGGCATTCCCCTCAGCCACCTGAATTCCAAACTGCAACTTTACCCTACAACTGAAACCTCCCACCGAACATACTATTCTCAAAGCCGCCAACAATAAAGACAGGCTTCGTTTCTCTAGCCTCCACCTCCTTAACAAAAATTAAGGGTACTATAATGGCCACCACCTCCCCTGTTTATCCCTCTTCCCTTGACTCCCCTCTCCCTGCACCATCCCTACCCTACACCCACCACCCGCGACTGTCTCCTTATCCCAACATTAAACAACACTCCCACTTGAATCTTAGTGGACACAAAACGCTTCCTCTTACACTGAGAAAAAAAGAACCCCACAGCCTCCCAGCCTAAACCAAACACCCCTTTACAACCACTTACAGCAGCAGCCCTCGCCGGGACCCTAGGAGTATAAACGCATGAAAATAACAAAATAGTATATATTTTTAGCATACACAACCAGTTCTGTCTACCAGACCAAGGCATACTTTTCCTATGCAGTACCTCAACTTATATTTGCCTCCCATCTAACTGGATGGGCACCTGCAGCCTGGTTTTCCTCAGTCCAAAAATCAACGTTGCCTCAGGAGACCAACCCCTACCAATCCCCGTTAATACCCCTGTCTGACACCACCATGCTATACAACTCATACCTCTATGAGTAGACCTCAGAATAACTACAGGAGTTGGAACTGGGGTTGCAGGATTAACCACCTCCGTTTCCTATTACCAATCCCTCTCCAAAGACCTCACAAATAGCTTGGAAAAAATAGCCAAATCCGTTACAACTCTCCAATCACAAATAAATTATTTAGCAGTGATGGTTCTTCAAAATCACAGAAACTTACACCTACTCACAGCCGAAAAAGGAGGACTCCGCCCTTTTCTAGATGAACAGTGTTGCTTTTATCTTAACTAATCTGGCTTAGTACAACATGCTGTAAAAAGACTAAAGGACCGAGGACAAAAAATTAAAGAAAACATCCCTCGATGGCTAGTGTGGCCCTCCTGGTCTTTTAATACCTAGTTTCCACGGCTTGACCCACCTAGGCCCAGCCATAACCATTTTTCTTTTTCTAGCATTTGGCCCTTGTCTCTTACACCTTCTCGCCCAGTTTTTATAGGACCTTATCAGAGCCTTTACCTACGGGGACAAGACAAGATATAATGCTGCTCCGGGAATACCAATGGCTCTAAAAACAGCAATCCCTACCATCCAGCCTTCCCCAACAACCGTCGCCCCTTCCCAGCAAGAAGCAGCCAGACAATGGCGCCCCTCTTCTATTACCTATTAAAAGGCTGGAATGTTAGGGACAAAATGCCCAAGAAAGCTTCTTGGTGCTGCCCACCCTTCCCCCAAGCCTCTTTATATTTCTAAGCCCTTATCTAGGTGCCACAGTGAAGCCAGCAGACTTCACTTATCAGACCTTGCTGCAATAAGCAAACCCCAATTACAAACCACCCACACCTGATGGGGGAGGTAGTGGGAAACATAAACTTTACCTTCACCCTCCTGTAATAGATGTCACAAGGTAATACGTAGCAAAATTAACCAGCAAACAACCCAGGATGTGGCCATACCAAAGAACTCCCTCAAACTCCCCTCCCCAATATAAACCCCTCATTCTGTAAGCTTGGGGCTGCTGCTCTCTATTAGGGGAGCAGCTGGCAGGTTAATGAAAACTTGCCTGCCTAATTTTAGGTCTATTTTTCCTTTCTCTCAGCTGACCTTACATCCTCATCTCCTGAGAGTAGGAGGAGGCCCAGCTGTGAGGTCAAAATGCCCAGCATCCCCAGGAAGGAGGAAGCCTGAGAGAAAGGCAGAAAGGGGACAAAAGCGGCTGACGTCTCAGTCCCAGCTGAAGAGGACTATTTTGTTTAGGAAGAAACGCTACTTATATGTTCCTTGGTCCTGGTGTGACTCATTTTTGCTGACCTGAATTTATTACATTTCCTGGAGCCTGAGATCTTGACCTTTTCTTTCTCACTTTAAGGGAGGAGACCACCCCTCATATTGTCTTATGCCCAGTCTCTGCCTCCAAAGAAAGAAGTAAAAACTAAAAGGCAGAAATGGAATCCATAGGCAGATAGCCCAGCACCGCACCCTGGGCCTGGTAGTTAAAAATCAACCCCTAGACCAGGCGCGGTGGCTCACGCCTGTAATCCCAGCGCTTTGGGAGGCCGAGGCGGGTGGATTACGAGGTCAGGAGATTGAGACCATCCTGGCTAACACAGTGAAACCCCGTCTCTACCAAAAATACAAAATCTTAGCCGGGCGTGGTGGCGGGCGCCTGTAGTCCCAGCTACTCAGGAGGCTGAGGCAGGAGAATTGCTTGAACCTGGGAGGTGGAGGTTGCAGTGAGCCGAGATCGCACCACTGCACTCCAGCCTGGGTGACAGAGCAAGACTCCAACTCAAAAAAACAAAAACAAACAAACAAAAAAACCCTGACCTGACTGCTTGTGTTATCTATAGATTCCAGGCATTGTATGGAAAAGCACTGTAAAAAAATCCCAGTCCTGTTCTGTTCCTTTCTCATTACTGGTGCGTGCAGCTCCCTGTCACCACCCACTGTTTGCTCAGTCGATCACGACCCCCTCATGCAGACCCCCTTATAGTTGTGAACCCTTAAAAGGAACAGGAATTGCTTACTTGGGGAGCTCGGTTTTTGGAGATGTGAGTCCGCTGATGCTCCCAGCTGAATAAAGCCCTTTCTTTCACAATTCGGTGTCTGAGGGGTTCTTGTCTGGCTCGTCCTGCTACAAATTTTTTTTTTTTTTTTTTTTTTTTTGAGACAGTCTCGCTCTGCTGACCAGGCTGGAGGGCAGTAGAGCGATCTCTGCTCACTGCAGCCTCCGCCTCCCAGGTTCAAGTGATTCTCCTGCCTCAGCCTCCCGAGTAGCTGGGATTACAGGCACCTGCCACCACACCTGGCTAATTTTTATTTTTATTTTTAGTAGAGACACGGTTTCACCATGTTGGCCAGGCTGGTCATGAACTCCTGACCTCAGGGGATCTGCCCCAGCTCAGCCTCACAAAGTGCTGGGATTACAGGTGTGAGGCACCACACCTGGCCCAGACTGGGCTTCTTTTTCCTTTCCTTCTTTCTTTTTTTCTTTCTTTTCTTTTTTTTGATGGTGTTTCGCTCTTGTTGCCCAGGCTAGAGTGCAATGGCACAATCTTAGCTCACCACAACCTCCGTCTCCTGGGTTCAAGTGATTCTCCTGCCTCAGCCTCCTGAGTAGCTGGGATTACAGGCTTGCGCCATCACGACTGGCTAATTTTGTATTTTTAGTAGAGATGGGGTTTCTCCATGTTGGTCAGACTGGTCTCAAACTCCCGACCTCAGTTGATTGGCCTGCCTCAGCCTCCCAAAGTGCTGAGATTACAGGTGTGAGCCACCGTGCTCGGCCTTTTTTTTTTTCTTTCTTTTTAAAGACAGGGTTTCACTCTGTCACCAAGGCTCGGGTGCAGCGGTGTGATCTCAGCTCACTGCAACCTCTGCCTCCCGGGTTCGTGCCATTCTCCTGACTCAGCCTCTGGCGTAGCTGGGATTACAGGCATGCGCCACCACACCCAGCTAATTTTTGTATTTTTAGTAGAGATGGGGTTTCACCATGTTTGCCAGGCTGCTCTTGAACTCCTAATCTCAGGTGATCCACCCTCCTTGGCCTCCCAAAGTGCTGGGATTACAGGCATGAGGCACCACGCCCAGCACTTAATTTGACTGGTGACATTCCATGGGACTCCAGTCAGGCCATGCTATGAATCGGCCCATTCAGTGGCAGTGCGTGAATTCAAGTTTAGGATGAAGAAAGTTCACCTTTCTCTCTCCAGGCCCCTAGGCCCTGGAACAGCTACCTGTGTGGTTGATGGCGGCTCCTCTGGTTGGCCTTGAGGCATGCGGGAATGTCACTGCCTGGTGAGCTCCTCAGTTGACCAGCACTGTCTGGGGGTGGGGGATGAGGGTGGCTCTCAGGGGTACCCATCTGAATGCTGCTGTTGTGAAGGTTGAATATGAGTAGGCCTTGGGGAGTTGACAAGGCAAGAGGTAAGTTTTGAATCAGCAGTTTCCCAGTGGCCGCTCAGAAAAATAACACATTTGGAAGGGACCAGCAGGAGTCTCTTTGGGAGCTGTCATAAGCCCTTGGCGTCAGAAACACTGACCTGGTCTCTGAGCTTTTGGCCAAGGCTCCCTGCAGCCAGACCTTCCCCAAACCTGCAGTCTCTGCCCGGCATCAACATCTGGCATTCACCCAGTACCTCATTCCTGTCCCCAGTGCAGCCACACTTCGCCAGTACCTTCAGCCAGGCCCCAGGTACTCCGGGGAGTGACCTTTTTCCCGCAGCTGGTACAGCACCCACTTCTCCCACAGCGAGGTCCACCCCTGCTTCCTGCTGCCCAGTGGGCCTGTGCTCCTTCGCCTGTCCCCACTGCTGGCAATGCTTGAGCCAGGGGCCATTCAGTGGATCCACTGGCCTGGTGACATGGGCCTCAGAGGCTGACCTCCAGGATTGTGAACTCTGCCCCTGGTTCTTTCCCAGGAGGGTCCAGACCCCCACGGGAGCTTCCAGCACCTACCAGAGCTCTTCCAGACTGTGGGTGATAGGCACCATGCTGAGGGGTGGGCACTGTAAGAGAAGAAATGTCATTGCTCTTAAGGGAAGTTTTCAGTTTTCTCTTGTGTCCTTCAGAGGCCTGAGAGCCTGGGAGACCTAGGGCTGGGACCACACCCCCTGGGCAACACTGAATCCTTATGCCCCTCCCAAACTTTTTGCCTCTGCTCCCCAGGGTGAGAAAATAGCCCTTAGAGTCCACAAGGGACCAGAATAAACACACTTAACAAAGTAATCCATATCTTCCACCTGTTTCACACCCTCTCCCCAACATAGATCTCCCCTTGAAAATTTTACTGCCCCAGCCAGATTTTCTTTGTCCTGTCATTTCTTTTAAAATTTATTGTCCTTGGCCGGGTGCAGTGGCTCACACCTGTAATCCCAGCACTCTGGGAGGCCAAGGTGGGTGGATTGCCTGAGGTCAGGAGTTCAAGACCAGCCTGACCAACATGGTGAAACCCTATCTCTACTAAAAATACAAAATTAGCTGGGTGTGGTGGTGCATGCCTGTAGTCTCAACTATCCAGGGTGCTGAGGCAGGAGAATCCTTTGAACCCGGGAGGCAGAGGTTGCAGTAAGCCGAGATCGCGCCAATGCACTCCAGCCTGGGCAACAAGAGCGAAACTCCATCTCAAAAAAATAAAAAAAAATAAAAATTATAGTTCTTTAAGAAATATAGGCCGGGCGCAGTGGCGTGGGCGACAAAGCGAGCCTTCGTCAAAAAAAAAGAAAAAGAAAGAAAAGAAAAGAAAGAAAGAAAGAGAAAGAAAGAAAGAAAGAAACAAAAGAAAGAAAATGATCAGTAGCTGCACCACTAGAAAGATGACGGAGCAAGAGCAAAGAAAAATCCTTTTGGTTCCAGAAAATCTCCTGAAAAATAGGAGGTCTTATCAAGCCCTCAAAGCCACCCAGGCAAAGCAGGCACTTTTGGCAAAGAAGGAGCAGAGGAAAGGAAAAGGGCTCAGGTTTAAGCGACTGGAATCATTCCTACATGATTCCTGGCAGGAGAAACGTGACAAGGTGCATCTCAGATGACTAGAAGCGAAACTTCATGCCTTGGAATTGCCAGATAAACATTCCTTGGCCTTGGTTGTATGCATCAAAAGGATTGATGGTGTGAGTTTACTGGTGCAGAGAACCATTGCAAGACTTCGCCTAAAGAAAATTTTTAGTGGTGTCTTTGTAAAAAGTCACCCCCTAGAACCTAAAAACGCTACGTATAGTGGAACCTTATGTGACCTGAGGATTTCCAAATCTGAAGTCTGTCGGGGAACTCATTTTGAAACATGGACCAGCCAAGGTCAAGAATAAGACCATCGGCCAGGTGTGGTGGCGCATGCCTGTAATCCCAGCACCTTGGGAGGCCGAGGCGGGTGAATCACGAGGTCAGGAGATCGAGACCATGCTGGCTAACACAGTGAAACCCCATCTCTACTAAAAATACAAAAAATTAGCCAGGCATGTTGGCGGGCACCTGTAGTCCCAGCTACTCGGGAGGCTGAGGCAGGAGAATGGCGTGAACCCGGGAGGCAGAGCTTGCAGTGAGCCGAGATCACGCCACTGCACTCTAGCCTGGGCGACAGAGTAAAACTCTGTCTCAAAAAAAAAAAAAAAAGAAGAGGAAGACCATCCCTCTGACAGACAACACAGTGATTGAGGAGGACCTGGGGAAGTTTGGTGTCATTTGCCTGGAAGACCTCATTCATTAAATTGCCTTCCCAGGGAAGCATTTCCAGGAGCTCTCATGGTTCTTGCGTCCTTTCCACCTCTCAGTGGCCCAAGATGCTACCAAAAATAGAGTGGGCTTCCTCAAGGAGATGGGCACACCTGGTTATCAGGGTGAATGCATCAATCAGCTCATCTGTCAGCTGAACTAGACTCAGGTGCCAAACCGATAAATTTTTATCAATGAAGTGGAAGCATGTGTTTTTGTTGTTTTGGGAATTTTTATCAAGTACTTCAGAGATTATTTCCTGCTTTATCTTCAAAAACTGAAAAGAAAAGACAGTAGCTGGCCAGGCACGATGGCTCAAGCCTATAATCCCAACACTTTGGGAGGCTGAGGCGGGCGTATCACCTGAGGTCAGGAGTTTGAGACCAGCCTGACCAACATGGAGAAATGCCGTCTTTAGTAAAAATATAAAAATTAGCTGGGCGTGGTGGCGCATGCCTGTAATCCCAGCTACTCGGGAGGCTAAGGTGGGAGAACCGCTGGAACCTAGGAGGCGGAGGTTGTGGTGAGCAGAGATCACACCATTGCGCTCCAGCCTGGGCAACGAGAGCAAAACTCCGTCTCAAAAAAAGAAAAGAAAAGACAGTAGCTTATGTTCATGGCAAGCACTTCTCATCACAGTGCAGTTCCAAGGAAAACTTCCAGCATTTTCTACATTGGGTGCCACGTCATCTGAAATCAGCACATTCCATGGAGGAAGGAGTCTTGCTCTGTTGCATCTATCCTAGGGTTTAATGTTGATAAATGAGTAACTCTAGCATTTGTAAAAGGCTCCTTAAGGCTCCTGCAGCAGCCGACCAAGCCCAAGGACATAACTGAATCTGGAGAGTCCTGGGGCCTTGTTTTGAAAAAGACTTGAAATACACATAGGAAGAAAGCCATAAAAATAAATGTTCACTTGTCTCTGAAAAAAAAAAAGAAAGAAAAAAAAAGAAATATAAAAGCAAAACTTGGCTTCAGCCATTTTTTCTGACTGCTCTGTCTTGCGAAGATCCCTGAGTACATGTAAAACAGATACAATTTGTATTCTTTCCTTTTTTCTTATTTATTTTTGAGACAGGGTCTCCTAAGTTGAGCAGGCGGATCTCATTCTCTTGGACTCAAGAGATGCTTGTGCCTCGACCTCCCAGTAGATAGGATTACAGATGATTCTCAATCTAGGCCTAGATTCAACTGAAGAGCCCACTAAGAGCTAAAAGACGCCTTGGAGATTACTCTGACTCCAGTACACAGGACATGTATGAAGTCAGGTGGAGCACAGAGTAGGCCATCAGGAAGTGTGAGACGGAGGTCTGGTGGGAGAGCTGGCGACATTTACTGACATAAAGATCCCAGGGGAAGCAGGTTGGGGTAAGAAAGGGATGAGCTGGTTTTGAGCGGAGGAGTCTTGGGCCATCCGCGTAGGGGCAGGACCTGAGGGGAGCCGAGAGCCTGGCTGCAGCTAGAGGGAGACCGGCGGTCGGGAGGCGTCCTGCACAGCACATGGGAGAAACTCCTAGAAGAGAGGACCCTCTGACCTTCTCAACCTTACCCTACTCTCCTGGCTGCTTCCGCCATCTAGAAGCTCCAAGGATTTCAAGCTCCAACAAGCCTACAATAGAGGAGGGTCTCCTGTATCCACTCCATGGCTTTTGTGAAAGGAAAATAAATCTTGGGGCCCCCAAATCACTACCCTAAAGGTAAAAGTCAAGCTGGGAACTGCTTAGGGCCAACCTGCCTCCCATTCTATTCAAAGTCACCCCTTTGCTGGCTGACATAGATGGATATCTGATTGCATCCTCTGGAAACGCTAATCAGAAACTCCAAAGAATGCAACCGTTTGTGCCTCACCTTCAGTTTCCTGGAAGCCCCTCCCTGCTTCGAGTCTTCCTGCCTTTGCTTCAAGTTGTCCCGCCTTTCCAGACAGAACCAATGTACTTACATACACTGATTGATGTCTCATGTCTCCATAAAATGTATAAAACTAAGCTGTGTCCCGACCACCTTGGGCACATGTCGTGAGGACTTCCTGAGGCTGTCACGCGCGTGTCGTCAACCTTGGCAAGAAACTGAGATCTATCTCGGAATTTCTGGGTTCACACTTTTTGCTCTCAACATTGGGAAGAGACTGCTGCCGCCGTTCCTGAGGACAAAACGAGAGGGTGATGGGCTGGAGCCCGATTCTAAAAAGGTCCAGGGACGAAAACTAACTTCTGAGTTCACGACAGTTCCCTTCCGTGGGAGGATCCTTTGTTTCTGCAAACCCGGGCTGAGCTCTGAGCTGTGCGGCCTCACCGGGCGGGGCCCGAGCATACTCGGTTGGTTTTCAAGGCCGGCGCCTGTAGCCGCAACGGCCATTTTTGATTAGGGCACGGAGAGACCGCTGCCTGGGGGTGGGGGCGGGGGGCGCCGTCCTGGGTACAATTGCGCAGGGGCAAAGGTCGAGAGGTCGCGCAGCCGCAGTTTTTTTTGAAGAAATAGTCCAGTTCTGACTACGGACTCGCAGCCATCGGCCCTTAGTTTCCATCCCCTCTAGTGGGCCCTCGGGGGTTATAGTGACCTCCCTCCTTCCCTTGGGACTGGGCCGGGGAGGTGTTCTCGGGCGCGGGAGGTTCCGTATGCCCAGGCCCGGCCAGGGGAGGTGACCGATTCGTCGCTGGGGCTGACAGTCCCCATGGCGCCGCCTCTGGCCCCGCTCCCTTCTCGGGATCCAAACGGGGCAGTACCCGAGTGGAGAAAGCCCAGGACCGTGAGCTTCGCCGACGTGGCCGTGTACTTCTCTCGGGAGGAGTGGGGCTGCCTGCGACCCGCGCAGAGGGCCCTGTACCGGGACGTGATGCGGGAGACCTACGGCCACCTGGGCGCGCTCGGTGAGAGCCCCACCTGCTCACCTGGGCCCTGCGCCCCCACACGCCCTGCCGCACCTCTGGGAGCTGCGCGTGGAGTTGGGGGTCCCGGGGCCGGGCAGGCGGCCTCCCCACAGCGTGGGGTTTGCGTTCTTCTCCCCCAGGAGTCGGAGGCAGCAAGCCGGCGCTCATCTCCTGGGTGGAGGAGGAGGCCGAACTATGGGATCCAGCTGCCCGGGATCCGGAGGTGACGAAGTGTCCGACAGAAACGGACCCAGGTGGAGTATCGGGTGCTAAGTCCCATGGGGACTTCTCTGTTCCTGTCCCATCCCGGTTTCCTCTGCCACCTCCAGCTACCTGCTTAGCAGTTTCCTCTCTGAACTGCCTTCTCAACTACGGCCAGCAGGGTGAGACCTTGCCTTGGCCCCGGATGCAGCCTAGAAAGGGGCTGTGATGGGGGCTCTGGCCCTGCCATACCCGCCTCTAAGTCCTCACCTCTGCGTGGTCACTACACTCTGGGGGCTTTTTTGTTTTGCTTTAGAGATAGGGTCTCTGTTGCCCAGACTGAGGTGCAGTGGTGCCATCATAGCTCACTGCAGCCTCGAACTCCCGGGCTCAAGCAATCGGATCAAGCAATCCTCCCGCCTGGGCCTCCAGAGTACCTAAGACTGTAAAGGCACTAGGCACCACGCCTGGCTGTTTTTTTTTTTTTTTTTTTTTTTAATTAAAAAATTTTTTTAAAGAGGTGGAGGTCCTGGTGTGTTGCCCGGGCTGGTCTCGAACTCTAGCCATCCTGTATCTCGGCCTCCCAAAGCACTGGGATCACAGTCATGAGCCACCGCGCCTGGCCTCTAAGTTCCGTTGGCTCTACCTCCACATCATGACCCCCGCCCCAGTCGTTTTCCTGCAGGATGGTTCCTATGCCCCCTAGGCGCCCCCCACCCCGCCCTCCCATTTCCTTCCTTCAGTTCTTGCCTCAGCCTTTGCAGAGTATCCAGCCCCACTGAACTTGGCCATGCCCGCCTGGTTCTGCCTTTCTTGGTGCTGTTTCTTCTGCCTAGAATATCGCCAGGTGTCCGCTCCTCCTTCTGGATCAGGCCCAGATGTTCATGTCATCTCTGCCCTTCCATGCGGTGACATTTCCCCAGTCCCGAGGCGGAATGGACTGTTTCTCCCTCCTGGCTCTGTCTGGCTCAGCAGCCGAGGAACAGGTGTCACTGCTCTATCTCCCAGGGGCAGCCGGGGGTCCAGCAGGCCTGTCCCTGTCCACGCGGGCTGTGGGATTCAAGGACCAGGATGAGCCAAGCCTGAACTCTCTTGTCTTTATCTCCCAGCAGATTCCAGAAACGAGGAAGAGGAAAGACAAAGGGAAGGGATGGGAGCCCTGGAGAAGCCTGTCCCTGTGACCGCCGGGTCTCCTGGGCTGAAGGTTCCCCAAGCCCCCTTTACCAGGTTGGAGCAGCTGTCCAAGGCGCGGCGCCGGAGTCGCCCCCGCTTTTTTGTCCACCCCCCTGTCCCCCGAGCGGACCAGCGTCACGGCTGCTACGTGTGCGGGAAGAGCTTCGCCTGGCGCTCCACGCTGGTGGAGCACATCTACAGCCACAGGGGCGAGAAGCCCTTCTACTGCGCAGACTGTGGCAAGGGCTTTGGCCATGCTTCCTCCCTGAGCAAACACCGGGCCATCCATCGTGGGGAGCGGCCCCACCGCTGTTCCGAGTGTGGCAGGGCCTTCATGCGCCGCACGGCTCTGACTTCGCACCTGCGCGTCCACACCGGCGAGAAGCCCTACCGGTGCCCACAGTGTGGCCGCTGCTTCGGCCTGAAGACTGGCATGGCCAAGCACCAGTGGGTCCATCGGCCAGGGGGCGAGGGGCGCAGGGGCCGGCGCCCTGGGGGGCTGTCTGTGACCCTGATCCCTGGCCGCGGGGACCTGGACCCACCCGTGGGCTTCCAGCTGTACCCAGAGATATTCCAGGAATGTGGATGAAGGCCTCAAAAGTGACTATCTAGACATTGTGGGAGGCCCGAGATGGGCTCAGGGGCCCGAACCTCTGCAGCGGCCTGCAGGGAGGTCCCAGAATCCACGGCAAGAGCTGGCCTGGGGTGTGGACATTCTGAACGTGGGCACTCAACAGCCTCTTCTGCCAGCACCTTGCTCCCTGCTGCCCTGGGCTCTCCAAGGCCACCTTTGCTGAGGCAGGGCTGAGGTGAGAACCCCCCAGACCTCCATACCGGGAAGCAAAAGCTGTTTCTCCTCCCAAAGGTGCTAAGAGGATTGAGGTAGAGGAGAACCTTGTTTTCTCTGTTTTTTCTTTTTACTTTTTTAATTTTTTGAGATGGAGTTTTGCTCTTGTTGCCCAGGCTGGAAGTGCAATGGTGCAATCTTCGCTCACTGCAATGTCCGCCTCCTGGGTTCAATCGATTCTCCTGCCTCAGCCACCTGAGTAGCTGGAATTACAGGCACACTATGCCTGGCTAATTTTTGTGTTTTTAGTAGAGATGGGGTTTCACCATGTTGGCTAGGCTGGTCTCGAATTCCTGCCCTCAGGTGATCCACCCACCTCTGCCTCCCAAAGTGCTGGGATTACAGGCGTAAGCCACCTCACCTGGCCTTTTCTTTTTTATTCTTTGACCCTCCCACAGCACAATACCCATTGTCTGTTTATTTATTTACATATTTTTAAGACAGCATCTTGCTCATCACCCAGGCTGGAATGCAGTGGTGTGAACTGGGCTCACTGCAGCCTAGACCTGCTGGGCTCAAGGAATCCTCCTGCCCCAGCCTCTCAGATGGCTGAGACTACAGGTGGGCTACACTACGCCTGGCTAAGTTTTAGTTTTTTTTGCAGAGATGGGGTTCCCACTATGTTGATCAGGCTGGTCTCAAACTCCTGGGTTCAAGCAATTTGCCCACCTTGGCCTCCCAAAGTGCTGGGATTACAGGGGAGCCACCGCACTGGCCTCCATTGTCTTTTTGCTGCACAACTTAAAAAACCAGTGGCCCTGTACTGGATCTGGCCTGCAGTTGCTGTATTGATTTGGGCCCAGGCAGTGTTTTTTTTTTTTTTTTTTTTTTTTTTGAGACGGAGTCTAGCTCTGTTGCCCAGGCTGGAGTGCAGTGGCCGGATCTCAGCTCACTGCAAGCCCCGCCTCCTGGGTTCACGCCATTCTCCTGCCTCAGCCTCCCGAGTAGCTGGGAGTACAGGCGCCCGCCACCTCGCCCGGCTAATTTTTTTTTGTATTTTTTAGTAGAGACGGGGTTTCACCGTGTTAGCCAGGATGGTCTCGATCTCCTGAACTCGTGATCCGCCCATCTCGGCCTCCCAAAGTGCTGGGATTACAGGCTTGAGCCACCGCGCCCGGCCAGGCAGTGTTTTTAAGTGATAACAATTAGTGGTGAAGATTTAAAAGGTTATTTTGCACCAAAATCCAGGTTTCTGGCATCTCTAGAAAAATCCAAAGATTTTGCAAGTCCACCTAGGCTCTCAGAAAGTCGCTGTTGTTGGGAGCTGGGCCGGAGCCAGAACTCCCAACTTACCGTGGCCACTCATCCCATCAGCTCCTGACCAAGCACGCGTTGCCATTCATCATTGCTTGCTTCTAGTGTTTTTGGTGTTTAAAGTACAGCAAAGAAGAAAGGGAAGTATTTCTTGAACCCATGTCTGTGTCAAAACAGTCCTTGCATCTTTCCTGTCTTTAGGTACGCGCCATCTTTGCTGTCTTTAAGTATGTGCCATCTCGGGCAGAGAGGACTAGGCCAGGAACACCTGGTGTTAGATTTGTAGCCAGTGGCAACTGTACCCATCTGTATCCCCAAGCTCTACACAGAATCCCCCCAGCACTTCACGACTCCATTATCCATCTACCACTAATTCCTTTGTGGGCAGAGTCCAGCCATGGGCAGCACCTGCCCAAGGAGAGCAAGGGCCTGTGACCTCTGCTGGCCTGTGCACCCTCGCCTGTCACCCAGCTCAGCCCTGTGTCTGGCCTACCCAGGGAGGAAGAAACCAGATTTGTCAACCTGGAAGGAGGTAGAAGTTTTGGAGACAAGACACTGTGTCAAGTGAAGTAATGAACTGACTTTATTCCAACCTCATCTCCAATCCAACCCCACCAAGGTCTCTCTCCCTCAGCTTTTCTGGGGTGGGTTGACTCATGTGTCACCTTATCACAGGGACACATGGGGTGAGAAGAGGTACCTTGGCAGTAGGAGATACCTTTGTACCAGGTTTTAATTTCCAGTGTACATCCCAGTCCCCTCCCCTAACCCTCAACACAGCCTGGGGAAAGCCCAGCTTGCAACACCAGTTCTCAGCCCAGACTGACAGCCAGATCTTGGCCCTGAGTATGCCAATTAAAGGTGCCATGATTATTACCTAGAGGTCTCTGAGTGCTTTGAAGTTTGTAAAGCTTATTTAGGGCCCAGAAGCCAGACTCCAACTCCTCTGCTTCCTGCCCTCATGACCCAACTTTCCAGCATTTCATCAACTTTTTTAGTGTCATGAAACCCTTAAGCCTTAGCCCCACCCCATTCTCAGCTCCTTAGTTCGTGGTGTAGATATTTCCACCTAGAGGCAGGGCCGGGCTGAGTATCTTTTAAAAATGTAGCTACTCTCGGCTGGAGTAGTTGCTCACACCTGTAATCCCAGCACTTTGGGAGGCTGAGGCGGGCAGGTCACGAGGTCAGGAGACCGAGACCATCCAGGCTAACATGGTGAAACCCCGTCTCCACTAAAGATACATTAAAAAAAAAAAATTGCCAGGCATGGTGGCACATGCCTATAGTCCTAGCTACTCAGGAGGCCGAGAGGAGAACCGCTTGAACTCAGAGGCGGAGGTTGCACTGAGCAGAGATAGCACCACTGCACTCCAGCCTGGGCAACAGTGAGACTCCATCTCAAAAAAAAAAAAAAAAAAAAAAAAGTAGCTACTCCCTGGGCCCTGTTCCTCATCTATTGAATGAGAATCTCCAGGGATAGAATTTGATGCCTGTGAAAGTTTGAGAGAACCACTGCTGGGAACAAAACATTATTTTCAAACTGCTCTTAGTTTTGCAAGAGTAGTGGTTGATCCCGGGGCCTGTCCCCAGTGTCAGGCATACACAAAGACTTCCATTTCTTTGTTCTTTCCAAAGGGCCCTGTACCGTGGCCGCTGTCTTCCTGGGTACCTAGGATCATGTTCAGTACACTGGGGCATCTCCTGTAGCATCAGATGGAAGGCCTTTAAGAGGGCTTGTGCTTTGCATGAGGGGAGGGAGCAATGCACACGGAAGCTCCTCTCACTGCGAACGTCTGTGAGGGCTCGCTCTATCCTGCAGCACTGGCCACGTTGGCTCGACCATAAACCTTGGCTGCACACTGAATGGCTCTGCCCTAGTGCTGTGCATGCCAGGAGACAATGCTGTGAACAAAGTGACCACCCGACTCAGGACATGCGCAGGGTTCATCCTCATGGATGCAGAGGTAGGACAAGGCCAGTGGACTCCCAAGTTTCTCCTGCCTTGGATTAGCTGGTGTTGGGTCACTGGGCTTGGAGCCTCTCACTGCTGTGGCTGTGTGTCAGGTGGAGGCTGGCTTCCTTGTGAAGTCCCTATGCCTAGATGGCACCCTGGTCCTGGAGGAGGCTGGCTGGAACTTAGCCACTCTTACTCCAGGTGCCAGTGAGGCTGAATTTGCACGTGGAAATGCGGGTGCCTGGGCAGCGTGAAGTCTTGGCCCAGCTTCTGCTACACCTGGGACTTGTGGCTCATAAGAGTGCAGGCAGCGGACGGTGTCAGAGCTGTGGTTGGAGGTCTCACCACCCATTTTTAGGGTGTGGCTGCTCTCCTGTGTGAATTTTCGTGGATCAGCAAGTTGGAGGTCAGAGAAAAATATCTTGTGGAGATTTGTTTCCTACCTGAGTGCTTTGGGGATGACCAGAGAGTACCCCATGTCCAGCTCTTCCCAAAACTTGTCCTCTTGTAGGCTGTCCTGACTGTGGACTGTAGTACTGGACCATGTAAGCCATTCTTAGCAAAGGTTTCAGGACAAACACATCGGGATGGGAGAGAGCTGTGGAGCTGGAAGTTGTTCCTCTGGAGGGCAAAAAGTTTTCCCCGCTTCATTTGTGGGATGAGCTCTTGTGATTTTATTTGTAAGCCTTTATATTACTATTATTATTAGAGATAGAGTCCTGCTCTGTCACTCAGACAAGAGTGCAGTAGCGAGATCTCGGCTCACTGCAACCTCTGCCTCCCCGTTTCAAGGGATTCTCCTGCCTCAGCCTCCTAAGTAGCTGGGATTACAGGTGCCCGCCATCGCGCCTGGCTAATTTTTGTATTTTTTAGTAGAGACAGGGTTTCACCAATTTGGCCAGGCTGGTCTCGAACTCCTGACCTCGTGATCCACCTGCCTGGGCCTCTCAAAGTGCTGGGATTACAGACATGAGCCACCGCGCCCCGCCTGTAAGCCTTTAGATAGTTTCTCTCCACTTTTTACCACTTGGCATTCTCCAAGTTCTTGTTCTCATCCCTTTGGCCATCCTTCTTCCCAAACATTCTCTTCCCTTCATTTGTCTGGGTAGGCGACAAGAAAACACGATCCATGGCTCCTGCATCACACAGGGGCATCGGGCTCATTAACTGTCAAGAACGCTGCCAAACTTGTTTCAGCACGAAACGTAGAAAAAAAGACAATAATTGGATGATATTAAGTTGTCTGTCCAGGCTCACTTCCTCAATTCAAAGCTGCACCCGAGGCAGTGTTTCTCAGGTTCCCTTCCTCTGCAAGCCTCCATTCGAGTCAGACAAGACTGGAGAATTGTTAGATGATGCCTCGAAGGCCAGATGGTTCTCTCAGTCCAATTCTCCTCTGTATCACCCTCACCTGGAAGGAATCCTGCCTCCCTGTGAGGAAATCCAGCAACCAGGGACAAAGGCTGCCAGGGATTGAGTTAAACTCAGGCGCTGGGGAAGGTGGAGGGGAGAGGCAAGGGGTGTGAGGCTGACGAGGAGGAAGGGTGTCTGTTCTCAGATCTTCTGGCTTTCATAAAACATAATAGAGGTTAAGTAGGGGCGGGAAAAGTTTTGAAGGCACAGGCCCGGCTGGATGGGAGACGCCTGACACCTCCCTCCCACTACCTCCTGCAGGGGCTTCTGGCCGACAGGGGAGGCGGACCCGACCAGAGCGCCCCCGGCCAATCAGGAAGGCGCCTGGCGTTCCCTGGCGACCATTAACGCCCCGCCGTCCGCGGGGTTGGAGGAGGCGGGGCGGCTAGAGCACGAGCCCCATCGGCCAACCGCCAGGCTTCCTGGCGCGGAGAAGCGGTGCCTCTGGGAGCCGGGGCGGGGCTGTCTCCTTGGCAACTATCCTAGCCCTCTAGGAGGGAGGAGGGGGATCAGGAGAGCCGAGCGGGGTGGGGACCGGAGGAACGGGAGCGGGCGCGCAGGTGCGGGGGAGCGGAGTTCCAGGAGGGGGTCCCAGGCTCCAGGACCTCGGCGAGGCCAAGGGTAGTCCGTCCCGGTTCCCGAGGCGCTGCCGGAGCTGACCCGGAGGCCCGGGAGGGGAGGGAGAGAGACACCGCCCCCGCTGGCGCCGGGAAGCGTCGCTCCTTCTCGCTGACCTTGGTCTCGCTTGTCGCCTCGCCCTTGGCCACACGCACCGACAACGCGGGGCCAGGGAGATGGACAGACGGGCCTTTGGAGGGACGGGGACCTAGAACATAGGCACACATACTGCCCCGGTAGCCCGGTGGGCTCCGGGGTGTCAGGTCCTTGCCCACCCCGAGGCCGGGCCCCTGCAGCCCAGGGTTAATGCCAACGAGTTTCCACCTCCAGCGGCTCCTAGAGAGGCCGCGGCGCGAGCCGGCGGGGGGACCTGGCCGCGGACGGACACTTCCTGTGCGGGGGAGGGGGCCGGGCGGCCGTTGGACAGCGCAGCCCAGCCCGGGGCCGGGGGCCAGACGGTGGGGGCTCGGGCGGGAGCGGGGCCGGGGGCCGCCGGGGTAGTCGCGAAGCCCCTCATCCCCGAGGCCGCGACGCGCGGGGGCCGGTGAGGGCCACGGGGAGGCCGAGACCTTGGGAGGGGGCGGGGCCGCGGGCAGGGGAGGGGCCCGGCGCGCTGGAGAGGCGCGGGGTCAAGACGTCCGGCCTCGGGGGCTCGGGCTGGGCCGCCGCGTCCCTTGGGCGGCGCTGAGCGGGCGGGCGGGCGGCGGGGCCCCGGGGCTCAGGGCAACCCAGGCCGGGTCGCAGGATCGGCCGCCATCGCCGCCGCCGCTGCACGGGGAGCCCGCGGGGATGGAGCGGGAGGCGTCGCCGTGGGGCCTCGAGCCCCAGGATGTGCAGAGTTCTGACGAAATGAGGAGCCCCGAAGGGTCCCTCAGAGGTGAGGAGGGAGCGCCCGTCCGAGGAGTGGACCTGCGAGCAGGAGAAGGGACTGTGGCTCCAGGGAGGGAGCGAGGGCCCGGGGCTGGGACACCTGGGACTCGGAGGAGGGGCAGGCGGGGACTGGGGTGTCCTGGGTCCGCTGAGGGGGGCGTGGGAATTTCAGCACTTGTCTAGGGGCCAGCAACCCTGCTTGTGAGGTGGGAGGTGTGTGGTTGCTAATAGACCAAATGACCTTCCAGGTCTCACTGGATCTGGATTTTCTGTAATTCTCTGATCCTGCAGGCAACATGAGTGAGAATGAGGAAGAGGAAATTTCTCAGCAAGAAGGCACTGGGGACTATGAAGTCGAAGAGATACCATTTGGGCTTGAACCCCAGAGCCCTGGGTTTGAGCCACAAAGCCCCGAGTTTGAACCCCAAAGCCCCAGATTTGAGCCTGAAAGCCCGGGATTTGAGTCCCGAAGCCCTGGGCTTGTGCCCCCAAGCCCTGAGTTTGCACCCAGAAGCCCTGAATCAGATTCTCAGAGCCCTGAGTTTGAATCCCAGAGCCCTAGGTATGAACCCCAAAGCCCAGGCTACGAACCCCGGAGCCCCGGCTACGAACCCCGGAGCCCTAGCTATGAATCTGAGAGCTCTAGATATGAATCCCAGAACCCTGAGCTCAAAACCCAAAGCCCAGAATTGGAAGCTCAAAGTTCCAAATTCCAGGAGGGTGCAGAGATGCTTCTGAACCCCGAGGAAAAGAGTCCCTTGAATATCTCTGTAGGAGTTCACCCCCTGGACTCCTTCACTCAGGGGTTTGGGGAGCAGCCCACAGGAGACCTGCCCATAGGACCACCTTTTGAGATGCCCACAGGGGCCCTGCTGTCTACACCACAGTTTGAGATGCTTCAGAATCCCCTGGGTCTCACAGGAGCCCTTCGAGGTCCAAGCCGGCGGGGTGGCCGGGCCAGGGGTGGGCAGGGCCCTCGGCCTAACATCTGCGGCATCTGCGGGAAGAGCTTCGGGCGGGGTTCCACCCTGATCCAGCACCAGCGCATTCACACCGGTGAGAAGCCCTACAAATGTGAGGTCTGCAGCAAGGCCTTTTCCCAGAGCTCTGACCTCATCAAACACCAGCGCACCCACACTGGCGAGCGACCCTACAAATGTCCCCGTTGCGGCAAGGCCTTCGCTGACAGCTCTTACCTGCTTCGCCACCAGCGCACTCACTCTGGCCAGAAGCCCTACAAGTGCCCACATTGTGGCAAGGCCTTCGGCGACAGCTCCTACCTCCTGCGACACCAGCGCACCCACAGCCACGAGAGGCCCTACAGCTGCACCGAGTGCGGCAAGTGCTATAGCCAGAACTCGTCCCTGCGCAGCCATCAGAGGGTGCACACCGGTCAGAGGCCCTTCAGCTGTGGCATCTGCGGCAAGAGCTTCTCCCAGCGGTCGGCCCTTATCCCCCATGCCCGCAGCCACGCCCGGGAGAAGCCCTTCAAGTGCCCTGAGTGCGGCAAGCGCTTTGGCCAGAGCTCGGTGCTGGCCATCCACGCCCGCACCCACCTGCCAGGCCGCACCTATAGCTGCCCCGACTGCGGCAAGACCTTCAATCGCTCCTCCACGCTCATCCAGCACCAGCGCTCCCACACGGGCGAGCGGCCCTACAGGTGCGCTGTGTGCGGCAAGGGCTTCTGCCGCTCCTCCACGCTGCTGCAGCATCACCGGGTGCACAGCGGTGAGCGGCCCTACAAGTGCGATGACTGCGGAAAGGCCTTCTCCCAGAGCTCCGACCTCATCCGCCACCAGCGGACCCATGCGGCGGGCCGGCGCTGACCCAGGGCCCCAGCAGGGGTGGGAGGTTTGGGCAGAAGATAAGGGGCCAGGGAACTAGAAGAACCTTTAGGGAGGATAGTGGAGAAGCCGCAGCAGGATGGAGGAGCTGAGGATGCTGGAAGAAGAGGGCCAGGGTGGAGGAAGTGACATGCCCTGGAGACTTGTGGGAAGTGGGTTGGAGGGAGGCCAGGCCGGCAGCGGGAGGCCCTGGGAGAAATGGAGAGAGGTCAGTGGAGGGCTGGCCTCGCAGTGGTGGCTCCTCGGTGGGTGCCTGGCTTGGCAACGTGCTAGAGCAGGGAGGGGGGAGGGCGGGGGATTACCTAATTAGAGTGGGTTAGCTTAGATTGGTAGCTGCTGAAACCCTTGTTGAGTCAGGAGCAGATAAAAGGGTAGGTGGGGTGGGGAGTGGGGCCTCGGGGTGGGGCCTGGGCCTCTGCGTGCAAACCCCAGCCTCCCTCTTTTTCCTCAGGCTTTGGAGCCCCTGAGTTTGAGTTCAATAAAAACCTTTATGTGGTAAACGAGACTTGTCCTTAAAACATGTGCGTGGACAGCGCCCTGGGAAGTGGGAGACACCAGTAGTAGCCAGGGGCCTTATCTGGGTAGTGCGTTGCTGCTGCTGCTGCTAGAAAACAGGTCTGGCTGTGTTGCAGCGCGCCACCGCGCCTGGTTGGAAGTGCTATTTTTTTCTTTATTTTTTTTGAGATGGAGTCTTACTCTGTCACCCAGGCTGGAGTGCGATGGTGTGGTCTCGACTCACCGCAATCTCCACCTCCTGGGTTCAAGTGATTCTCCTGCCTCAGCCTCCCGAGTAGCTGGGATTACAGGTGCCCGCCACCACGCCTGGCTAAATTTTTTTGTATTTTTAGTAGAGATGGGGTTTTCACCATGTTGGCCAGGCTGGTCTTGAACTCCTGACCTCACGTGATCCGCTCACCTCAGCCTCCCAGAGTGCTGGGATTACAGATGTGAGCCACTGTGCCTGGCTTTTTTTTTTTTTTTGGAGGCAGTATCTTGCTCTGTGGCCCAGGCTGGATTGCAGTGATGTGACCATTGCTCACTGCAGCCTTGACCTCCTGTGCTCATGTGATCCTTCTGTCTCAGTCTCCTGAGTAGCTGGGACTACAGGTACGTGCAGTCAGGCTCAAATAAGTTTTTATATTTTAAGTTTTTATAGAGACAAGGTTTTGCCATGTTGCCTAGGTTGGTCTCAAACTCCTGGCCTCGAAGGATCCTCCCGCCTTGGGTTCCCAAAGTGCTGGGAATACAGTTGTGAGCCATAGAACACAGCCAGAAATGTTCACTTAATTGAGTAGGGCTGCAATATTGCACCAGCACAAAAACACCACAAAACTGGACAGAATTTCACATTTATTGGATAAATACACGCAGGCACAGTGCTTGGCACTGGGGCTCCAAGTGAACAGACGTGGTTCCCACTTTGAGCTCAGTCTTTCTGTGGGAGCCATTGCACAGGTGTGATGGGTCCTGGGAGAGGGTGTGGAGCCAGGGCAGGGGCAGAGCCTGGGAAGACGGCCTCCAAGGATGGGGATGTCACAGGCCCATGCCTTCTTTTTATTTTTTCCTCCAGACGGAGTCTCGCTCTGTTGCTGCCCAGGCTGGAGTATAATGGCACAATCTTGGCTCACCACAACCTTCACCTCCCGGGTTCAAGCGATTCTCCTACCTCAGCCTCTTGAGTAGCTGGAACTACAGGCGTGTGCCACCACGCCTGGCTTTTGCATTTTTAGTAGAAACGGGATTTTGCCAGGCTGGTCTTTACCTGACCTCAGGTGATCCACCCTCCTTGGCCTCCCAAAGTGCTGGGATTACAGGCATGAACCACCACACCCAGTCCATCCCCTCTTTTTCTGTATCTTCCCACAGGCTTTGTCATTAATTCAATGAAATTGTGTCAAGCACCTACTAGATGTCCCACGCCCTGACATATCACGAGGCATCCCAAGGTGAACAAGACAAGTATGACCTTTACCCTCAGAGTTCACTGAAAGATAGCTGCTAAGTATGTCAATCATTAAACAGGGAAAAACATCCAGGCTGCTGGATGAAGAAACATGACGTATGCTTTGAAGGAGTAGTGCAGGCTGGAGGAAGTGTGAAAGACGTGGGGACCCAACCGAGTCTGACATGTGAGCTAGGATCTGCCAGCCGAGGAAGGAGGGGTGGCCAGGTGGAAGGTTCAGACAGAGGGAGCCGTCTGGGTGAATGCAGGAAGACAGGAAGGAGCCTGGCCTGGGAGAAAGGCTGGTGTCACTGGAGCTTCAACAAGGAGGCAGCATGGCTCTAGAATAGGTTGGGGAAGGCCACAAAGGTCTCATTTTGCAGGGTGCTGAAAGGCATGCCAAGGAATTTGGTCTTTGGCCAAGAGCAAGGCATGTGCCGCAGTCATGTAGTGAGACAGGTCACATTTGCTCTCTGCCAGCAGAAGAGACTGGACTCCAGTGCAGGGGAGTGGGCAGGGAGAGGTTCTGCGGAGGGGGAGGCATCTGTGGACATCTCAGGGAAGGTGTGAGGGCCAGAACATCCCTAGGTCCTGAGACTACAGTTTCTCCACATTTAGATCAGACATTCTCTTCCAAGGAAGGAAACCAAGAAAGGCTGGTGGACCGTCTGGTAATGACAAACCCTCACTTTTGCAGCCCTCCTGGCTGGTCCCTCAGCAGGTCCTCCCTATGAGCCTGCAAAGGAGACAGGCAGGCATGAGCTCCATGTTCAAGATAGGGAAACTGAGGGCCAAGGAGGGGCAGTGACTCGCCCGAGGGCACACAGCGGAATGCAGGCGGAGGCAGAGTGGCCCTGGGCGTCCTGAGTTCAGTTCTGGACCCTCTGCACATCACAGGCCTGGACTCAGTCCTTGCCACCGCCACTCTCAGAGTCCTCCTCGTGGAGGGGTTTCAGGCAGCCCGGATCCCCAGCCTCTTCCCCAGACGCCGGCTGCCCAGAGTCTTCTGCAGGGATTCCATTCGGGACACCTCCGCCAGCCTCCATCTTCTCCTTCAGGTTCCGTTTGAAGAAACCAACCTGTACAAAGACAAAATTTGAATGAGCAAAAAATTCACTGAGCACTGGCCCCAAGAAAATGTGAGAACACGTTTTTCTTTCTCTCTCTTTTTTTTTTTTTTTTTTTTTGAGATGGAGTCTCACTCTGTTGCCTAGGCTGGAGTGCAGTGGTGTGATCTCGGCTCACTGTAGCCTCTGCCTCCCAGACTTAAGCAATTCTCCTGCCTCAGCCTCCTGAGTAGCTGGGATTACAGGCATCTGCCACCATGCCCGGCTAATTTTTGTATTTTTAGTAGAGACAGGGTTTCACCATGTTGGCCAGGCTGGTCTCAAACTCCTGTCCTCAAGTGATCTGCCCTCCTTGACCTCCTAAAGTTCTGGGATTACAGGCATGAGTCCCCGAGCCAAGCGAGAACACTTTATTTTATTTTATTTTTGAGATGAAGTTTTGTTCTTATTGCCCAGGCTGGAGTACAATGGCACCATCTTGGCTCACCACAAGCTCCGCCTCCCAGGTTCAAACAATTCTCCTGCCTCAGCTTCCTAAGCTGCTGGGATTACAGGCATGAGCCACCATGCCCGGCTAATTTTCTATTTTTGGTAGAGTCAGGGTTTCTCCATGTTGGTCAGGCTGGTCTCGAACTTGCGACCTCAGGTGATCCACCTGCCTCTGCCTCCCAAAGTGCTGGGATTACAGGTGTGAGCCACCGTACCTGGCCTTCATCTGTAACTTCTTTTTTTTTTTTTTTTTTTTTTTTTTTTTTTTGAGACGGAGTCTCGCTCTGTCACCCAGGCTGGAGTGCAGTGGCCGGATCTCAGCTCACTGCAAGCTCCGCCTCCCGGGTTTACGCCATTCTCCTGCCTCAGCCTCCCAAGTAGCTGGGACTACAGGTGCCCGCCACCTCACCCGGCTAGTTTTTTTGTATTTTTTAGTAGAGACGGGGTTTCACCATATTAGCCAGGATAGTCTCGATCTCCTGACCTCGTGATCCGCCCGTCTCGGCCTCCCAAAGTGCTGGGATTACAGGCTTGAGCCACCGTGCCCGGCCTTTTAATCTGTAACTTCTACTTAGCCTTCAAATCCCACCTCAAATGCCACCTTTCCTGGGAGGCCTGCCAGGCCTTCACAGCCTAAGTAAGTCTCCTGGGTTCTAGGCCCCAGGCCACACAGACCCTTTGCAACCCTCATTCTGCTTGCTCCTGCCTGTGTCCCCTCTTAGACTGCGAGCGCCACAATGGCAGGGAGCATGTTTGTGGCATGTGCCTCCGGGGACAGTGCCCAGCAGCCAGAAGGACCTCCATATTTGGGGTACTTCCTTTTCCTCTCCCAGGGTGCCTTGTCTTGGCTCTGCCAGGGATGGGCTGAATGACAGTGGAAAAGTCTCTCTTGCTCTTTGTGTGTGTGTGAGACAAGGTCTCGCTGTGTCACCCAGGCTGGAGCGCAGTGGCACCATCAGGGCTCACTGCAGCCTTGACCTCCTGAGCTCAAGGGATCCTCCCACCTCAACCTCCCGAGTAGCTGGGACTATAGGTGGGTGGCATCACGTCCCCCTAATTTGAAAATTTTTTTGTAGAGGCGGATGCTTGCCATGTTGCCCAGGCTGGTCTTGAACTCCTGGGCTCACGTGATCCACCTGCCTCGGCCTCCAGAGTGCTGGGATTACAGGTATGAGCCACTCCACCTGTTCTTTGGACCTCAGTAGCCTTCTCTGTCAAAGGAGGGAGTAAGCTGAGGCTCCCTGGCTCTAATGCCCTCTGGCTTGGTATTCTCCTCCCTGGCTCCCACCAGATACCCTTCCCCAGCCTGGCTGTCTCAGCAATGCCCGTGGCCCCCGGAGGCACCCACCTTGTACAGCACTATGAAAATTAGCAGCAGCAGCAGAAGCCCCCCGATGCCGCTCAGCACATAGAGGTAGAGCATTTGCTTCTCATACACAACGTCAATCTTCATGACAACCTGGGGGTAGGGGAAGGAGAGTGTCGGAAAATGCCTTTTCCACCCCCGAAAGTCCCTGTGAACCTGGTGCATTCTCCATCTCCTCCTATCCGGACTGCATCACCTGCCTGGAGTCTCCTGCTGCAGACCCTCTCCCTTCAACGCATCACCTATTGCAGTCGCTGCCGTGACTTGGCCAATACACACCTTAGGCAGCCCTAGGCCTTCAATGGCTTCCCTGGAATCACACGCAGCTCAGCATTCAAAGCTGTCCAGAATCTGCTTCTGCTTACCTGTTAGATGCATCTTCCCTCCTCCCCTCTGCCTGCCAGCCACACTGAACTTTCTGCTCTTCAAACCTGCCCTGCCCACGCTCACCACAGAGGCCCCTGAACTTGCCGCTGCCGCTGCTTAGAGCACCCTTTCTTCACTGTCTGACTCTTGGCTTGGTAGCTCCTTTGCTAAGTTGCCATCAGATTGATTTTTTTTTTTTGAGGTAGGGTCTCACTGTGTTGCCCAGGCTGGAGTGCAGTGGCATAATCATAGCTCACTGCAGCCTTGAACTCCTGTGCTCAAACGATCCTCCCATTTCAGCCTCCCAGAGCGCTAAGTACAGGCATGAACCACCATGCCTGCCTCTGACAGATCCTTTTGAGATGAAGTCTCACTCTGTTGCCCAGGCTGGAGTGCAATGGCAGGATCTCAGCTCACTGCAGCCTCTGCCTCCCAGGTTCAAGTGATTCTCTCACCTCAGCCTCCCGAACAGCTGGGGTTACAGGCACCCACCATCATGCCCGGCTAATTTTTGTATTTTTGTAGAGATGGGGTTTCACCATGTTGGCCAGGCTGGTCTTGAACTTCTGACTTCACATGATCTGCCTACCTGACCTCCCAAAGTGCTAGGATAACAGGTGTGAGCTACCACACCCAGCCTCGATTGATCTTTACTTGACACATAAGTCCACCACATCTCAGGTGACTTTGGGGTTGTGAGCCCACCAAGGGAAGAAGCAGCTTCTCCCAGGCTGATGGCTCTGGCAGTGGGGAAGCTCTGACTGGCACAGAGCCCAGGAGCTGTCCTACATCTCGGTCTACCCTGGGGCTCCTGGACTCCCTCTGTTGCCTGTTCCTGGGGCTTCCGAGGAGGTAGAGATACCTGGGCCAGGGAGGCGTTGCTGCCATAGAGGTGGAAATGCCTGCTGCTGTTGAAGGAGATGGAGAGGGAGCTGCAGACGCTGAACATGGAGGAGGCCTGCGGGAGTGGGGAAAGGCGTCAGAACCCGGGAGAAGGAGGACAGGACCCACTGGCCTCTGCCCCCATCACAACACAGTGGGGAAGGGCAGAGAAAGGGGTTCCAGTGGGGTGCACCCATCTCTACTCAACTTTCTAGTGTGACATTCTTTCCTTTCAATTTTTTTTTGAGATGGAATCTTGCTCTGTCACCCAGGCTGGAGTGCAGTGGTGCCATCTTGGCTCACTGCAACCTCTGCCTCCTGGGTTTAAGGGATTCTCATGCCTCAGCCTCTTGAGTAGCTGGGATTACAGGCATGTGCCACCACGCCCGGCTAAAGTTTTATATTTTTAGTACAGACCGGGTTTCACCATGTTGGCCAGGCTGGTCTCGAACTCCCGACCTCAAGTGATCCGCCCACCTCAGCCTCCCGAAGTGCTAGGATTACAGGCATGAGCCCTGCCTCAGCCTCTACTGTGGCACCCTAATATGTCACTCCCCATTGTTGTAAGTAAAGCTTTTCTATAAAGAACACATAGGAACTATCCATAGGCCCATGGAAACAGCATTGCACATTTCACAGAAATCATGGTTCTCTTTCACCTGTAACTGTGTAAACAGGGGATATTTCATGAAGATGGAAAAGAAAAATGGAGGCAGACTGTCTGATGGGAGCCCACCCCCAGCAGCCCCAGGCATTGGGGCCCCCACAGCGATTCCACATCTGTTAGGAGCAGGAACTACCTCAATCTCTCCCACCAGCTCCAGGGTCCCGATCACTTGGACGAGGATCTCCTGCCTGAAGACAACAGGGCAGCGGAACAGGGCTCCGGGGAGACAAGGCTGACGAGGATGAGGAAAGAGGGGTCAGGGCGGCCTCGTTCCGAACCGTGTGCCGCCCAGCCCCACCGTCTCTCAGCTCACACGCCCATACCTCAGCCGTATCTGGCAGCCACTCCAGATCCTCATAGTGGCAGGGCACAGGAGGCTCCTAGGAATGAGCGGCAGGTCTTCAGTTAGAGCCTTCACAACCCAGGTAAGACCCTGGCATCCCAGCTTTCCCCTACCCTGGCCCTAGTCCTGGGTGAGTTCAGACATCTCTGAGTCCAGCAGGATCTGAATTAATCCATCCTCACTCCCCACACACCCAGCCTTGCCCCCCTTGAATTTCTCTTTTTCTTTGTTAGCGACAGGGTCTTGTTCTGTCGCCGAGGCTGGAGTGCAGTGGTGTGATCATAGTTCACTGCAACCTCAAACTCCTGGGCTCAAGTGATCCTCCGGACTCTGCCTCCTGAGTAGCTGGGACCACAGGCACGGGCCACCATGCATGCCTGGCTAATTTTAAAATTTGTTCGTAGAGACTGGGGTCTTGCTGTGTTGCCCAGGCTGGTCTCAAAATCCTGGCCTCAATCGATTCTCCCACTTCGGCCTCCCAAAGTGCTGGGATTTGGGAGGCAGAGCCACCGCACCTGGCCAAGCCCTGCCCTCTGTACCCTCAAATGCACTCACCCCCAAGACCTGGGGAGGGCAGCCCCGCCCTCTCCAGGCAGCACTCACCATCTGCACGCTCCACTGTTGTGTGATGGGCCCCTCGCTGGGAGGCTGTGGCACCCCAACCACGGCCTCCAGGGTGGGGATGTTGTGGTCATGGATGGAAGGCTGGATCCTCACCTGGCACAGATGACAAGGGATGCAGAGCCCTAAATGCCAGCCACCCCAGCTGCTACCCAGACCCTGCGTGCCCTTGCACGCCTCTTCCAGTCCTCATCAGCTGAGTCCCCAGGGCCCTTGGTGGTTAGGCAGTGTCCAGTGACTGGGCGTGGCCAGCTTCCATCCTCAGGGCCTTGCAGTGTGGCTTCCATGCTCTTCCAGCTTTCTCCACCCAGTACGCTTTCACACACCCTGCAACATTCTGCTCTAATATTATCTCTGAAGGATTTGCTGACTCCCCAAGGACAGGGCAGCTCCCCTTACTGGGCTCCCACAGAGTCCTCTGCGTCCCCAGCAGGACAGCGAAGGATCTGCTTGGATGTCTGCATCTCCACTAGACCATGAGCTCCCTGAGGACAGGAGCCATTCTTACGCCACTTCCAATCCCCTACTGCTTGACATGGTGCCTAGTGTGGTGACTCACACCTGTAATCTCAGCACTTTGAGAGGCCAAGGTGGGCGGATCACTTGAGGTCAGGAGTTTGAGACCAGCCTGACCAAGATGGTGAAAAACCCTGTCTCTACTAAAAATACAAAAATTAGCCAGACGTGGTGGCGCAATCATATAGTGCTGGGTACTTCAGAGGCTGAGGCAGGAGAATTGCTTAAACCCAGGAGGCAGAGGTTGCAGTGAGCCGAAATCACACTATTGTACTCCAACCTGGGCGACAAAAAAAAAAAAAAAAAAAAAAAAATTTTTGAGCACCTTTTGTTAAAAAAAGAGCTACCTGTGTTAAGGCTGGGAGACCCAGATATGTATAAGAAAGTGACACAGAAGTGGCACTAACAATGTCTTAGGAAGCAGGAAAATGTGTGTCAAATTAGAAGGATTCTATCATTTATTCATTCAACAAACATTTGTGGACACTTGAAATACCAGTTAAATTAAAAAGGCCAAATGTCAGGGGCAGGATTTGAATTTGACTGTGAAAGATGGACAGGATTTTTATTTTTATTTTTTTTTGACAGAGTCTCACTCTGTTACCCAGGCTGGAGTGCGGTGTCGCGATCACAGCTCACTGCAACCTCCACCTCCCAGGTTCAAGCGATTCTCCTGCCTCAGCCTCCCCAGTAGCTGGGACTACAGGCACACACCACCACGCCTAGCTAATTTTTGTATTTTTAGTAGAGACTGGGTTTCACCATGTTGGCCAGGCTGGTCTTGAACTCCTGACCTCAGGTGATCCGCCCACCTGGGCTTCCCAAAGTGCTGGGGTTACAGGTGTGAACCACCACGCCCGACCAGATGGACAGGATTTTAACAGATGAAGGTGGGAGAGGGCATCCAGGAAGAGACATGCAGGGAGCCAGGATGACTCCAGATGAGAGTGATGTGGCTGGAAGGAGGGTGCCTGGGAAGGAGAACAGGAGCTGAGGCTGGAAAGGAAGCCCAAGATCAGACTATGGGGGCCTGGAAGGCTTGAGAGTGAGGAGTTGGAGCAGCATCAAGGAGGCAGTGGGAAGTCACGGAAGATGGCAGAGGAAGAGAGTAGCTCCAGGGAGGTCCATCCCCTGCAGGCATGAGCTGGAAAGAGGCTGGGAGAGGCGGGTCATGGCCCACGTTGGGAGCCTCTCTCAATAGTCCAGTTGCAAGAAGGTGAAGAACTGGGTCTGGGCAGTAGCAGAAAAAGGACACAGACAAACAGACTCCAGGAGGCAGTGGGACAAGGCAGAAGGGAGGAGAAATTCACCCAGACACGTAAGTTTTCCTTGAGGAAGAGAGGGTGCTTTCAAAAGATTCCATGCAAGCCAGAGGAGATGCTGGCTTAGGGGAAGACAGCAAATTTGGTTTAGAATGTGTTGAGACGAGGCCAGGCACAGTGGCTCATGCCTGTAATCCCAGCACTTTGGGAGGCCGAGGTGGGTGGATTTCTTGAGGTCAGGTGTTTGAGACCAGCCTGGCCAACACGGTGAAACCCTGTCTCTACCAAAAATACAAACGTTAGCCGGGTGTGGTGGTGTGCACCTGTAATCCCAGCTACTCAGGAGGCTGAGGCAGGAGAATCGCTTGAATCCAGGAAGCAGAGGTTGAAGTGAGCTGAGATTACGCCACTGCACTCCAGCCTGGGTGACAGAGCAAGACTCTGTCTGAAAAAAAAAAAAAAAAGTAAAAATAAAAATAAAGCACCAGGCACAGAACCTGGGTTTAGAGACTGGGCAGGGTGCCAGCACCTAGCTAAATACCTAACTTAGAATAGGCCGGGCGCAGTGGCTCATGCCTGTAGTCCCAGTACTTTGGGAGGCTGAGGTGGGTGGATCACTTGAAGTTAGGAGTTCCAGACCAGCCTGGCCCACATGGCGAAACTCTGTCTTTATAGAAAATACAAAAATTAGCTGGGCATGGTGGTGGATGCCTGTAACCTCAACTACTTGGGAGGCTGAGACGAGAATTGCTTGAACTTGGGAGGCAGAGTTTGCAGTGAGCCGAGATCCCACCACTGCACTCAAGCCTGGGTAACAGAGCAAAGAATAGCAGCTCATTCAATGTGAGTATGAAAAAGTAGGTTCTCTCTCAGCATCCTCCTTGCTCTCAAACCCTGTGATTCTTGAAATAATGTATCCAGTGGCAGAAAGGAGTTAGCATATGCTGCTGCTGGAAGCCTATAAGTGGAGGCTGTGACGCTCTAGAGAAAGGATTATTGAACAGGTGGACGGCTAGGATGAGGACTGTGTCTATTTGGTGCCTGCATCCTCAGTCCCCAGGATAAGGAATGAATGTGTGACCTATAAGGACCTTCCACATTGGGGTTCATACCTGGTAGATGTGCTTGACTTGGTGGATCTTGGGGCCTTTGGGGGTGAAACTGACATAGAGTGTGGAGTTTTCCTGGCTGTGGAGAGAGAAGGGCAGTGATGGAAGAACGAAGTGACAGCAACCTGGGCTCCAGGAAGCTTCTGAGCACCCAGCCACTGCGCTAGGAACTGCACAGACACCATCTCATTCAATCCCTACCACAACCTGTTCTTTCCCAGAAACTAAGGCTCCTGGACAGGGCCAGCCTCTTGTCCAAAGCCCCACAGTAGAGAGACAGGACTGGAGCCCAGGGAGGTGTGTCCAGTGGAGGCTATGTCCTTCCCACTGTGCGCCACCTCATTGGTGTCCCTGCTCATCTCCTGAATAATCATATCCACTGCTGATGCCCCTCACACCCATCCTTCCAACACACACTGCTGGGTGACCTTCCCGACATCACTCTCTAGCCCTGCAACTCACCTGCTCAGCATCTGCCAACTGCCCCCTACTGCGAGGGAGGGTCAGGTCCAAAGCCTCCCACGTCCAGGCTGTCTCCCCACTGCTCCCCTGCACACACCTGCCCTCGGGTAATCCTGCCCACTCCCCGTCCCCCATGCCTGCCCCACTGCTTCCTCCCTCCTTGCCTTTGTCTGGGCCATGGTTTCTGATGAGGACACCTAGGTTCCTTTTTAGCTCTTCCCCTAATGGCCTCATCCTCCAGACCCCAATCCAAGCCGCACTTTCTCCACAAACCCTTCCATTTGTCCCCCAACCCACACTCATCTTTCCTGGCTCTAATTTCATGTCAGTATCATACTGTGTGGCATTGATGTTCAAAAGTACTGCAGGCCAGGTGCGGTGGCTCACACCTGTAATCCCAGCACTTTGGGAGGCTGAGGCAGGTGGATCACCTGAGATCAGGAGTTCAAGACCAGCCTGGCCAACACGGTGAAACCCCATCTCTACTAAAAATACAAAAATTAGCCGGGCGTGGTCATGGGCACCTATAGTCCCAGCTACTTGGGAGGCTGAGGCAGGAGAATTGCTTGAACTCGGGAGGTGGAGGTTGCAGTGAGCCGAGATTGTGCGACTGCACTCCATCCTGGGCAACAGAGCGAGACCCTATCTCTTAAAAAATGAAAAAATTTGGCCAGGCGCGGTGGCTCACGCCTGTAATCCCAGCACTTTGAGAGGCTGAGGCAGGCGGATCATGAGGTCAGGAGATCAAGACCATCCTGACTAACTCGGTGAAACCCAGTCTCTACTAAAAATATAAAAAATTAGCCGGGCATGGTGGCAGGCACCTGTAGTCCCAGCTACTCGGGAGGCTGAAGCAGGAGAATGGCGTGAACCCAGGAGGCGGAGCTTGCAGTGAGCCGAGATCACACCATTGCACTCCAGCCTGGGCGACAGAGTGAGACTCTGTCTCAAAAAAAAAATAAATAAATAAAATAAAATAAAATAAAATAAATAAATAAATAAATAAAAATAAAAAAATAAGAAAATTTTAAAAAGCACTGGAAACCTGGACTCAGACACTGTCCTCATCCTTCTTTTTCCTTCTGTAACTGAGCCAACTGGAAAAAGCCACTCGACTTTGAGTTTCCTTTTTTTTTTCCAGACAGAGTCTCACTCTGTCACCCAGGCTGGAGTGCAGTGGTGCGATCTCAGCTCACTGCAATCTCCTCCACCCGAGTTCAAGTGATTCTCCTGCCTCAGCCTCCCAAGTAGCTGGGATTATAGGTGCCTGCCATAACACCCAGCTAATTTTTGTATTTTTAATAAAGACAGGGTTTCACCATGTTGGCCAGGCTGGTCTTGAACTCCTGACCTCAAGTGATCCACCCACCTTGGCTTACCAAAGTGCTGGGATTACAGGTGTGAGCCACTGCACCTGGCCAAGTTTCCTTTTCTATAAGCGAGAAGACCTTTAACAGGTTTTTTGTTTTTTTTTTGTTTTTTTTTTGAGACGGAGTCTCGCTCTGTCGCCCAAGCTGGAGTGCAGTGGCCGGATCTCAGCTCACAGCAAGCTCTGCCTCCCGGGTTCACGCCATTCTCCGGCCTCAGCCTCCCGAGTAGCTGGAACTACAGGCGCCCGCCACCTCGCCCGGCTAGTTTTTTGTATTTCTTAATAGAGACGGGGTTTCACCGTGTTAGCCAGGATGGTCTCGATCTCCTGACCTCGTGATCCGCCCGTCTCGGCCTCCCAAAGTGCTGGGATTACAGGCTTGAGCCACCGCGCCCGGCCAGGTTTTTTTGAAATAGCAAAAAATTGACGTAACTCCCTCTATTTTTGTTGAAGAGGCCCTTACCCATTCCTGCCCATAGGTTAGGATAATTTTAGAGCACTGAGATAACATGCAAAAACAGCAATCATGTAGTTTTTAAAACTAAGTCTGGCATTAAAGGGGACGTATGTAAACAACTAACTACGTTTTGTTAAAGATTTATAGAAGCACGGCCGGGCGCGGTGGCTCAAGCCTGTAATCCCAGCACTTTGGGAGGCCGAAGCGGGCAGATCACGAAGTCAGGAGATTGAGACCATCCTGGCTAACACGGTGAAACCCCGTCTCTACTAAAAATACAAAAAAAAAAAAAAAGAAATTAGCTGGGCGTGGTGGCGGGCGCCTGTAGTCCCAGCTACTCCGGAGGCTGAAGCGGGAGAATGGAGTGAACCTGGGAAGCGGAGCTTGCAGGGAGCCGAGATCGTGCCGCTACACTCCAGCCTGGGCGACAGAGCGAGACTCCGTCTCAAAAAAAAAAAAAAAAAAAAAAAGATTTATAGAAGCACTGTGACCTGACCAAGGACCAAGAAGTTCCCAACCTCCTTGTATCATCTCTGGTGCCCAGATGTCTGTGCTGCTAAGTTACCTCTTGATCTCAACCTCTTTCTCTTCCCCCTACCCTTAACATTAAAGATGGTCCTTTAGAACACTAGTTCACTATCTTCTCAATTGCCTGGCTTTCCAGATAAACCTGCCTTTCCTCCCACCAACTCTTGCCTCTTAAGTCTGGCTTTCAAGTAACAAGCAGCCAGACCATGGTTCAGTTACAAACCCAACTAGTGATCCCCATGGTTCCTTCCTGCTACTGCGTTCTGAGAGTCACTGACTATGTGTGTGCATGAGTTTGGTCTCTCCAACTTGACTGTAAGCTCCCTGAGGGCAAGAGGTATTGTGATAACTTTTCTCCTGTCTCTCCTGACATTATCAGCCCCCAGGAGGGGAGAGAATCTAGGTGACCGAAACAGTCAGGAGTTTGGCTGGGCATTTGGAGTCAGACAGGCTGAAGCTCAGACCCTGGCTTTAGTACTTCCAGCTATTGGACCTCGGGTAAGTGCTGGCCTTCTCTGAGCCTCAGCTTGTTCATTGGTAAAACGGAGAGAGGCACAGCTGCCTCACAGAGGTGCTGAGGGCTCCAGGCAATGTCAGCAACCGCGCAGTGCAGCCGGCCCTCAGTCTGATATAAGATCAGTGTTCAATGAGCCTTTTCTTCCATCAGTAAATGCTGATCCTTCCCCGAACTCTTACAGGGCCCTCACATTTTGGAACGTGGAAAACTGTTGGGGCTGTGGCTGGAATCAGTTCTAATTACCCCAGGGGGCTCTGGGAAAGGAAGGAGGTTCAGAAGGGGAGCCCCAGGGGGCAAAGTCGGGGCCCTGGGTTGGGAGGCTGCGGTGGGAGGAGAGGTTTGGCTATCTGCTGGGAAGGACTTACTCCTGGATGAGGACGTTGATGGGGTACAGGACGGGGATGCTGGTAGTGGCCGAGTTGTCCTTCAGGAGGCCTGAGTCCTCATTGTTACTGCATTGAGGCAAGGAAGAGGCCAGTGTTAGGAGAAGGGCTTGGCCAGGTCTGAGACCAGGGCAGGGATGTGGGCGGGGCCTGCTCACCAGGTCACATTGGCGTGCAACTCGACCAAGTCCCCCCAGGAGCTGTTTACCAGCGTATTAAACATCATCTGCAGAACAACCTGGCAGGGAAGGAGAGGGGAATGGAAATGGAAGGGGCGTGAGGAGCAGCCCCACGGCCCCCACATCCAATCACCATCATCTCAGGGACCCCTTATCAAGTACTCACTGCACCCCAAGCACTGAGCTAGGATTCTACCCAATGCGAAGATGAGGCAACCAAGGCTCCAAACGGTTAAGTCATGTCTATAAGGTCACAAAATGAATAACCCAATCCCAGCTTTGCCTGATTCCAAAGTCCAGGCTCTCAAACATGACACGAAACAGATTCACAAACACTTCTCTTGGGTAGGGGCAAAGTACACCCTTCCTGACAGTCACCTACTCCCTCCTCCTGAGCCAAGAGCTCCCTGCCCTCTGCCAGCTCAGGGTCCCTAGGCTGCTTGGTCCCTGGAGACTTGAAGCACTCACTGAGTGGCCTGCTTTGAAGATGGGAGAGCTCACGTTGCAAGATAACGCCCTGGACAGAAGCTTGGACGCTTCAGGAAGCTCCTCACAGCTCACAGGCATCTGGCTATGGGGCTGGGAGTGAAAGGAGGGAACAGGTTTGTTAATGAACAAGGCCAAGGTTCCCCCAGAGGCCACCAGCCCTCCTGGCCTACGTCCCCCAGGGGCTCTGTCCCTGTCATGGCACCTTCTCAGAGGGAAAGGGCCCAAGAATCAGGGCTGCAGACAGAGGCTTAGTACAAAATAGTCACTGCAAGGCCAGGAAAGGTAGCTCACACTGGAAATCCCAGCATTTTGGGAGGCTGAGGTGGGAGGATTACTTGAGGAGTTCGAGATCAACCTGAACAGCAGTGAGACTCCATCTCTACAAAATAATCTTTTTTCTTTTAAATACAGGATCTTACTCTGTTGCCCAGGCTAGAGTGCAGTGGTGCGATCTCGGCTCACTGCAACCTCTGACTCCCAGGCTCAAGCAGTCCTCCTGCCTCAGCCTCCCAAGTAGCTGGGACTACAGGGATGTGCCACCATGTCCGGCTAATTTTTGTGTTTTTAGCAGAGATGGAGTCTCTCTATGTCACTCAGGCTGCTCTTGAACTCCTGGGCTCAAGGAATCTGCCTGCCTTGGCCTACCAACGTGCTGGGATTACAAGTGTAAGCCGCCATACCTGGCCTACAAAAGATTTTTAAAAATTAGCTGGGCAAGGCCGGGCGCGGTGGCTCGAGCCTGTATCCCAGCACTTTGGGAGGCCGAGGCGGGTGGATCACGAGGTCAGGAGATCGAGACCATCCTGGCTAACATGGTGAAACCCGTCTCTACTAAAATACAAAAAAAAAACTAGCGGGCGTGGGGGGCGCCTGTAGTCCAGCTACTCGGAGGCTGAAGCGGGAGAATGGCGTGAACCCGGGAGGCGGGCTTGCAGTGAGCCGAGATCGCGCCACTGCACTCCAGCCTGGGCAACACAGCGAGACTCCATCTCAAAAAAAAAAAAAAAAATAGCTGGGCATAGTGGGGTATGCCTGTCGTCCCAGCTATTAGACAGGAGAGTCACTTGAGCCCAGGAGTTTGAGGCTGCAGTGGGCCATGCTTGCGCCACTACACGTTAGCCTGGGCAACAGAGTGAGACCTTATCTCAAAAACAAAAGTTGGGTCTAGGGGGGTAATTGCAACACTATAATGCTGAAAAACCGGAAGTGCTCAAACAGGTCAAAGAGATAATAACGGCTCAGGAAAGTGTGGCATAATCAAAGAGGAGACTATTGTGAAGTTTTTAAAATGCCACTACCTCTATGCATTCAGTAACCATTTACAAAATGAGCCTTATCGTGGGCTAAGCATTAATAAACCATTCATCCCAATTTTGTAAAGGACAGATTTCAGTCTCAGCCTGGGAAGGAAACATATAAGGAAATAGAGGTTCAGGGAGGTTAAGGAACTTTCCCAAGGTGTCATAACTGGGTAACAGTAGGGATCCGTAAGAACTTGAACACAGAACTGTTTGATTCCAGTTATTTTTTTTCTCTCTTTTTTTTTATTGTTGAGATGGAGTCTTGCTGTTGTCACCCAGGCTAGAGTGCAGTGGAGTGATCTCGGCTCACTGAATCTCCATCTCCTGGGTTCAAGTGATTCTCCTGCCTCAGCCTCCCAAGCAGCTAGGATCACAGGACAGGCTACCACGCCCAGCTAATTTTTGTATTTTTAGTAGAGATGCAGTTTCAACATGTTGCCCTGTCTTGTTTTGAACTCCTGACCTCAGGAGTGAGCCACCGCACCCAGCCCAGTTTTTTTGTTTCTGTTTTTTTGTTTGTTTGTTTGTTTCTGAAACAAGGTCTCGCTGTGTTGCCCAAGCTGGAGGGCAATGGTGTAATCATAGCTCACTGCAGCCTCAAACATGACTCCAGCGATCCACCCACCTCAGCCTCCTGAGTAGCAGGACTACAGGCACACCCCACCACACCTGGCTAATTATTTAATTTTGTGTAGACACAGAGTCTTGCTCTGTTGCCCAGGCTAGAGTGCATTGGCACGATCATAGCTCCCTGTGGCCTTGAACCCTTTGGCGTAAGCACTTCTCTACCTCAGCCCCCCAGGTAGCTGGAATTGTGCCACCACATCCAGCAAAGAAGCATTTAATGTTGTTGTATAAGAATAATTCGGCTGGGCATGGTGGCTCATGCCTGTAATCTCAGCACTTTGGGAGGCCGAGGTGGGCGGATCACCTGAGGTCAGGAGTTTGAGACCAGCCTGGCCAACATGGTGAAACTCTGTCTCTACTAAAAATACAAAAATTAGTCAGGCATGGTGGCGGGCGCCTGTAATCCCAGCTACTCAGGAGGCTGAGTCAGGAGAATCACTTGAACCCCGTAGGCGGAGTCTGCAGTGAGCCGAGATCGCGCCATTACACTCCAGCCCGGGGGACAAGAGTGAGACTTCGTCTCAAAAAAAAAAAAAAAAAATTCAAGTGTTCATCAACAGATAAATAGATAAAATATGGTCTGTACATAAAATGGAATATTATTCAACCTTAAAAAGAAAGGAAATTTGGTGGGGCGCACTGGTTCACACCTGTAATCCTAGCACTTTGGGAGGCTGAGGTGGGCAGATTGCTTGAGCTCAGGAGTTTGAGACTAGCCTGGGGAATATAGTGAGAGCCTCTCTCTATTTAAATTTTTTTTTGAGATGGAGTCTTGCTCTGTCACCAGGCTGGAGTGCAGTGGCACAATCTCGCCTCACAGTAGCCTCTGCCTCACAGGTTCAAACGATTCTCTGGCCTCAGCCTCCCTAGTAGCTAGGATTACAGGTGCACACCACCACACTTGGCTAATTTTTGTATTTTTTAGTAGAGACAGGGTTTCACCATGTTGGCCAGGCTGGTCTTGAACTCCTGGCCTCAGGTGATCCGCCCGCGTTGGCCTCCCAAAGTATTGGGATTACAGGCGTGAACCACGGCACCCAGCCTGAGAGGGTAAACCTCGTACCTCAGATCATACAGCTCCAGGCTGGGAACCCAGATATGACCCTAAGACCCCTGTCCACCCGCGGCTGCCCACGTGTTCAGGCTGTCTTGGCTGCCTGGGGCTCAGAGAAGGGAGTAGCGGCTGCGGAACGCACGCCCGTAGGCAGGCACTGTACTCTCACCCACCTTCAGCATCTCCACCTTGCGGAAGGAGAGTCCCCGTGGGAAGTGCAGGTCCAGCTGGACCCAGTAAGCATCTTCTCCCAAGTTACTCAGGCTCAGCTCCACAGCGAGGCTGGCAAAAGCAGTCAGACGCAGGGCTCTGGATCTGTGGGGGATGATCAGGGAAAAGTTAGGGGCCAAGATGGAGGAGGGAGGATCAGGGTGGGGAATATCAGAACTGAAGGATCTGGTGGGCCTGAAAGAAATAAATCAAAACCAATCATCTTTTATGCTCAGTCTTTTTTTTTTTTTTTTGAGACAGAATCTCACTCTGTAGCCCAGGCTGGAGTGCAATGGCACAGTCTCGGCTTACTGCAACCTCTACCTCCAGAGTTCAAGCAACTAAACTGCCTCACACTCCCAAGTAGCTGGGATTACAGGCATGCGCTACCACGCCCGGCTAAGCTTTGTATTTTCAGTAGAGACGGGGTTTCACCATGTTGGCCAGGCTGGTCTTGAACTCCTGAACTCAGGTGACCCGTCTGCCTTGGCCTCCCAAAGTGCTGGGATTATAGGTGTGAGCCACGCTGCCCAGCTATGCTCAGACTTTCAGTTTTGCAATTCTTGCAATCTTATTTACTGCTGACTGATGGGAGTTATATGAGGGATTTGCTTTCTATTTTATTTACTTTTTATTTTTTAGAGATAGGGTCTTGCTCTGTCGCCCAAGCTGGAGTGCAGTGGTGCTTACTGTAGCCTCGAACTCCCAGGCTCAAGCAATCCTCTTGCCTCAATCTCCCAAGTAGCTGGGAATACAGGCATGAGCCACCATGCCCAGTTAATTTTTAAATTTGTTGTAGCGACAGGGTCTTGCTATGTTGCCCAGGTTGGTCTTGAACTCTTGGCCTTAACCAATCTTCCCACCTTGGTTGGCCTCCTGAAGTGCTGGGATTACAGGCATGAGCCACTGAGGTCAGCCTCGAATTTCTCAGAAAAGGAAACTAAGGCCCAAGAGAGGGAAGTGGCGTCTCCAAATGACATATCTGGTGAGTGGAGCAGGGGGTCTTAAAACAGAGTGGATGGAGGCTGGAGGGCAGGAGGCCTTACTGACCTTGCAGGAGAGAAGGACACTCTCAGGTTTGCCTCACACTTCTTGTCCTCCCCACAGTTCTTCTCAAAAGGGATCTGAAAGGCCAAGAAGAAAGGAGTAAGAGGCTCAGACCAGGAGGGACCTGACCCCAGGCCTCTCTGCCTGCCCCTCCTCCCCTCTTACCTCCCAGGTTTCTGAGTGCAGGGAGGGCCTCAGGATGGGCGGTATGTCCTTGCTCTGCCGGGCGAGGGGTAGTGGGCAGGATGGAGAGAAGAGAGATTAGCTGAGGCAGCAGACCTCATGAATGAATGAGAGCTGGTGGGGCAGGGGCTTAGCTTAACTGAACTGGCTGTGGTTGGCCCTGCCCAGGAGCCAGCTGCCTTCCCAGGGCTGCCCCACTCTGCTGCCTCAGCCCACTGCCACTTGTGCAGTCGCACTCTGCTGGCGGCTCCTTTTTTTTTTTTTTTTCTTTTTTTTTAAGACAGAGTCTTACTCTGTTGCCCAGGCCCAGGCTGGAGTGCAGTGGCATGATCTCTGCTCACTGCAACCTCTGCCTCCTTGGTTCAAGCGATTCTCATGCCTCAGCCTCCTGAGTAGCTGGGATTACAGGCATCCATCAGGCATCCACCACTATGCCTGGCTAATTTTTAAAAAATATTTTTAGTAGAGACAGGTTTTCGCCATGTTGGCCACGCTGGTCTTGAACTCCTGGTCTCAAGCAATCCACCCCCTCTCAGCTTCCCAAAGTGCTGGGATTATAGGTGTGAGCCACCAAATCTGGCTGGCTCTTTTTTTGTTTTTTGTTTTTTTCTTATTTAGAGACACAGTCTCACGTTGTTGCCCAGGCTGGAGTGCAGTGGTGCAGTCACAGCTCAATGGCTCACTGCAGCCTCACTCTGGGCTCAAGTGATCCTCCCTGCTTAGCCTCCCAAGTAGCTGGGACTATAGGGGCGCACCATCATACCAATTAATTTTTTATGTTTTGTAGAAAGGGAGTCCCACTATGTTGCCCAGGCTGGTCTCAAAATCCTGGCCTCAAGTGCACCATCACACCTGGCTAATCTTTGTATTTTTAGTAGAGACGGAGTTTCACCATGTTGGCCAGGCTGGTCTCGAACCCCTGACCTCAAGTGATCCACCCATTTCAGCCTCTCAAAGTGCTGGGATTAAAGGAGTGAGCCGCCTGGCCATGGGTGGCTCTTCTTGCCAAATGGATTTCTCTGATAAACTCCCCACCGTCCCTAGCCATCTCTTCTTACCGCCCTTTGGTCCCTCGGTGTCCCTTCCTCCTCCCAAAGAGAGAAATTCAGGGAAACATTGATGGGGGAGATGAGGTCTTGAACACATACCTGAGGGTGATAAGAATACAGCCTATGTCATGAATCTAACCTTTACCACGCTTCTGATGAGATGTATACTTTGTCAGCATTTTACAAGTGATGAAATTCTGGTATTTCGCTGTCTAAGACTCTACCAGTAGTGAAAATCCATTGACTACATAGCAGGTGTGTATAGCACCCCCAGGGGGTTCTCAGCAAAGTTATCATCCCTGAGCCCCAGTTCCCCAGCGGACATCACTAATCAATCCCAGCACTTTTTCCCACTGCGTCATAACTGAAGCCCCTGAATTTTGACCTAGGCAGCCATTATCAAAGTTTGCATAAGAAAATTTCAGAATAACTAGAATATCCTAGTTCTAGAATTTTGTTCCTTGAGAACAGGGCTGGGTCTTAGTCACTTGTTATTACCAATGCCTGACACTGGCATTCTGTAGGTACTCAAATAGTTTTTCACCTGAAGGTTCTACTAACCCTAAGAGGTAGGTATTATTACCCCAACATTTAAAATAAGGAAAATGAGCTCTCCCTTCCTTCCTTTTCTTTTTTCTCTTTTCCTTCCTTCCCTTCTTCTTTCTTTCTTTTCTTTTTTCTTTCTTCTTTTCCCTCCCTCCCTCCCCCATTCCTTCCTCCCTCCCTCTCTCCCTCTCTCCCTCCCTTCCTTCCTTCCTTCCTCCCTTGTCCTTCCTTCCTCCCCTCCTTTCTTTCTCTTTCTGTTTCATCCTCCCTCCTTTCACCCCACTCTAGAAAAGAAAAAGAAGAAAATGAAAACTAAAAAGGTGGCACAATTGTCCTAAGAACTTGGAGTGACAGAGTCAAGATTTGAACCCAAATCTGTCCAAATACAAAGTCCAGGATCTTTCCACCATGTCACACTGCTTTCTTTTCTGGCAAATTTATGTTTAAAATGTCTAAATCTTTTTTTTTTTTTTTTTTTGAGACGGAGTCTCACTCTGTCACCCAGGCTGGAGTGCAGTGGCACAACGTCGGCTCACTGCAAGCTCCACCTCTCAGGTTCACGCCATTATCCTGCCTCAGCCTCCAGAGTAGCTGGGACTACAGGCACCCGCCACCGTGCCCGGCTAATTTTTTTGTATTTTATTAGTAGAGACGGGGTTTCACCTGTTAGCCAGGATAGTCTCGATCTCCTGACCTCGTGATCCACTCACCTTGGCCTCCCAAAGTGCTGGGATTAAAAATGTCTAAATCTTATAAGAGGTGGAATGGGAGGAGGCAGAGGGGCACTGAGCAGAGGTTTGAATGAAATAGAGGGTGAGTCGGTAATTGTTGAAACTGGGTGATGAGGACCTGGGGATTCATTAAACTATTTTTTTCTAGTTTTGTATGATTCACATTCCCCATAATAAAAAGTTTAAAACAGGCCAGGTGTGGTGGCTCACACCTGTAATCCCAGCACTTTGGGAGGCTGAGGTGGGTGGATCACCTGAGGTCAGGAGTTTGAGACCAGCCTGGCCAACATGGTGAAACCCCGTCTTTATTAAAAATACCATAATTAGCCGGGTGTGGTGGTGCACACCTGTAGTCCCAGCTACTCGGTAGGATGAGGTAGGAGAATTACTTGAATCCAGGAAGCAGAGGTTGCAGTGAACCCAGATCATACCAATGCACTCCAGCCTGGGCAAAAGAGTAAGACTCCATCTCAAAAAAAAAAGTTTAAAACAAACTTCAAATTTTCAAATTCTTATGTCCCAATCCTATACTGTCTTATATGATTTTGTTTTGTTTTGTTTTGTTTTTTGAGACGGAATTTCACTATCGTTGCCCAGGCTGGAATGCGATGGCACGATCTTGGCTCACTGCAACCTCTGCCTCCCGGGTTCAAATAATTCTCCTGCCTCAGCCTCCTGAGTAGCTGGGATTACAGGCACCTGCCACCCATACCTGGTTAATTTTTTGTATTTTTAGTAGAGATGGGGTTTCACCATGTTGACCAGGCTGGTCTCGAACTCCTGACCTCAAGTAATCCGCCCACCTCAGCCTCCCAAAGTGCTGGGATTATAGGCATGAGCCACCACGTCTGGCCTTTTATGAAATATTTAAGAGAACAAAACAATTTTATATCAATCTCTTTTTTTTTTTGAGATGGAGTCTCGCTTTGTCACCCAGGCTGGAGTGCAATGGCGCAATCTTGGCTCACTGCAAGCTCCGCCTCCCGGGTTCAAGCCATTCTCCTGTCTCAGCCTCTCAAGTAGCTGGGACTACAGGCGCCCGTCACCACGCCCGGCTAATTTTTTTGTATTTTTAGTAGAGATGGGGTTTCACCATGTAAGCCAGGATGGTCTCAATCTCCTGACCTCGTGATCCACCTGCCTTGGCCTCCCAAAGTGCTAGGATTAGAGGTGTGAGCCACCGCGCCCAGCCATATCAATCCCATTTTTATACAGGATTGCTTATAAGCAACTAAATCTGGGTATTTCAACAGTTGTTTAAACTTTATTTTTTTGGAGACAGAGTCTCATTCTGTTGCCCAGGCTGGAGTGCAGTGGCACAATCACAGCTCACTGCAACCTCCACCTCCTGGGTTCAAGCAATCCTCCTGCTTCAGCCTCCAAGATAGCTGGGACCACAGGTGTCTTCCACCAAGCCTGGCTAATTTTTTTGTATTTTTTGTAGAGAAGGGGTCTCGCTATGTTGCCTAGGCTGGTGTTGAACTCCTAAGCTCAAGTGATCCACCTACTTCAGCCTCTCAAAGTGCTGGCATGAGCCACCATGCCTGGCCTGTTTAAACTTTTTTAAAAACTTTTTTTTTTTCCTCCATGTACCATACATGAGACTTAATTTAAAAACTTTAAAAAAATACCCCAACTTTTTTCTGGGATGCATGATATGTACCTGGCAAATAATGACATACCATGATGATTGAATATTCTGTAAAAATTAAATATTTTAATATTTCTTTTTTTTTTTTTTTGAGATGGAGTTTCACTCTTGTTGCCCAGGCTGGAGTGCAATGGCATGATCTCAGCTCACTGCAACCTCCACCTCCTGGGTTCAGGTGATTTTCCTGCCTCAGTCTCCCAAGTAGCTGGGATTACAGGCATGGGCCACCACTCCCGGCTAATTTTGTACTTTTTTTAGTAGAGATGGGGTTTCTCCATGTTGGCCAGGCTGGTCTTGAACTGCCAATCTCATATAATCCGCCTGCCTTGGCCTCCCAAAGTGCTGGGATTACAGGTATGAGCCACCGTGCCCAGCCAAATTTTTTCGGGTTCACGCCATTCTCCTGCCTCAGCCTCCCAAGTAGCTGGGACTACACGCGCCCGCCACCACACCTGGCTAATTTTTTTTTGTTGTTGTTATTTTCAGTAGAGACGGGGTTTCACCATGTTAACCAGGATGGTCTCAATCTTCTGACCTCATGATCCACCCACCTCAGCCTCCCAAAGTGCTGGGATTACAGATGTGAGCCACCGTGCCCGGCCCAAATACTTTAATATTTCATAATTTAAAATTATGAAAGCTGTGTAGCAGCATTAATATATAATGTATGAAAAGAGTAGGGAAAAATAGTAACTACATTGCCATTGTAATCGTGTTAAAAATGCCTATAAATATATTAAAAAGTAGAAGCTGCTGGGCATGGTGGCTCGAGCCTGTAATCCCAGCACTTTTGGAGGCCAAGGTAAGAGGATTACTTGACACCAGGGGTTTTAGACCAGCCTGGGCAATACGGCAAGATCCTGTCTCTACAAAAGCTTTTTTTTTTTTTTTTTTGAAATGGAGTTTCACTCTTGTTGCCCAGGCTGGAGTGAAATAACGTGATCTTGGCTCACTGCAACCTCTGCCTCCTGGGTTTAAGCAATTCTCCTGCCTCAGCTTCCCAAGTAGCTGGGCTTACAGGCATGTGCCACCACGTGAGGCTAATTTTGTATTTTTAGTAGAGACGGGGTTTCACCATGTTGGCCAGGCTGGTCTCGAACTCCTGATCTCAGGTGATCCGCCCACCTCGGCCTCCCAAAGTGCTGAGCCACCGTGCTCAGCCTACAAAAACATTTAAAAAAATTATCCAGATATGGTGGTGCATGCCTGTAGTCCTGTCTACTCGGGAGGCTGAGGTGGGAGGATCATTTGAGCCCAGAAGTTGGAGGCTGCAGTGAGCCATGATTGCATCACTCCACTCCAGCCTGGATGATAAAGTGAGGTCCTGTCTTAAAAAAAAGAATTTTAATACAAAATTTAAAAAATTAAAAAACTAGAAGGAGCCAGGCACAGTGGTGTGCACCTGTAGTCCCCACTATTCAGGAAGCTGAGGCAGGAGAACCTCTTGAGGCCAGAAGTTAGAGTCCAGTCTGGGCAACACAGTAAGACCCCCATCTCTAAAAACATAAAATATGGCCAGGTGCAGTGGCTCATGCCTGTAATCCCAGCACTTTGGGAGGCTGAGGTAGGAGGATCACCTGAGGTCAGGAGCTCGAGACCAACCTGACCAACATAGTGAAACCCCAACTCTACTAAATATACAAAAATTAGCTGGGCATGGTGGCACATACCTGTAATCCCAGCTATTCGGGAGGCTGAGGCAGGAGAATCGCTTGAACCTAGGAGGTGGAGGCTGTAGTGAGCCAAGTTCATGCCATTGCACTCCAGCCCGGGTGACAGAGCAAGACTCTGTCTCAAATAAATATATAAATAATATAAAATAGGCCAGGCGTGATGGCTCATGCCTGTAATCCCAGCACTTTGGGAGCCAATGCAGGTGGATCACCTGAGGTCAGGAGCTCGAGACCAGCCTGACTAACATGGTAAAACCCTGTCTCTACTAAAAATACAAAAATTAGCTGGGCGTAGTGGCAGGTGCCTGTAATCCCAGATACTCGGGAGACTGAGGTAGGAGAATTGCTTGAACCCAGGAGGCGGAGGTTGCTGTGAGCAGAGATCATGCTGTAGTGAGTGAGACCGTGCCACTGCACTACAGCCTGGGCGACAGAGCAAGACTCTGTGTCAAAAAAATATATGTAGCCGGGTGTGGTGGCTCACACCTGTAATCCCAGCACTTTGGGAGGCCAAGGCAGGCAGATCACCTAAGGTCGGGAGTTCGAGACCAGCCTGACAAACTTGGTGAAACCCCTTCTGTACTAAAAATACAAAAATTGTCGGGCATGGTGGTGCATGCCTGTAATCCCAGCTACTCAGGAGGCTGAGGCAGGAGAATCACTAGAACCCAGGCGGCGGAGGTTGCAGTGAGCCAAGATCGCGCCACTGCACTTCAGCCTGGGCAACAAGAGCGAGACTCCGTCTCAAAAAAAATATATGTATAATTTTATATATAAAAATATATATTTATTTAAAATTTATGTAAAATATATACATTTTTATATAATTTTATATACAATTTAAAATTTAATATATATTTAAAATTAAAATATATATTTAAAATTTATATAAAATATATTTTTTATATATATATATTTTTTGAGATGGAGTCTCGCTGTGTCGTCCAGGCTGGAGTGCAATGGCATGATCTCAGCTCACTGCAACCTCTGCCTCCCGGGTTCATGCCATTCTCCTGCCTCAGCCTCCTGAATAGCTGGGACTATAGGCGCCCGCCACCTCGCCAGGCTAATTTTTTGTATTTTTAGTAGGGACGGGGTTTCACCATGTTAGCCAGGCTGGTCTCGATCTCCTGACCTCGTGATCCACCTGTCTTGGCCTCCCAAAGTGCTGGGATTACAGGTGTGAGCCACCGCGCCTGGCCATATATATAATTTTTAAAAAACACTAGAAGAAAATATGCTAAAGGTGTTATTACTACCATTGCGCAGAAGAGGAAGTGACAGCACAGAGGGATGAAAGTGACGTGTCACCCACTGGACAGTGACGGAGCTGAGCCTGCCCCTGCAGGTAGCTCATCCCAGAGCACTGGCGCTGGCTCCCTTACCGGGAAATGAAATGAGAAGTCAGTGCAGGACATGGTGGTGGTGACAGCTGTGTTCCTTCTGAGTTCATGTCTCCCTCCTGGGAACAAGCCCCGTCTTCTGGTCCGGTGGCCATCCAGCTGCAGAGTGTAAGTGAGATTGGCAACCAGGTGGCCTGGGCAGGGCGGAAAAGGCAAGAGTTGAATGGTGGGGGATCCCAGGGCCATAAGCCTGGATTTGGGGCAGCAGCTACCCTGGGGAGCAGGAGGAGAGCTCTGACCTTGGAACTGGGGGATGAGAGACTTGATCTGGAAACAGATTGTGATATTAACACCTTCTTTCATCTTGTTACTTGTTGAATAGGAGCACTCCACTTCATGCACTGGGATCTCGGCTGGAGAGAAGGACATCAGGGTGACCACATCCACCACGGGCCGGGAGCTGCAGGGCAGAAAGCAACCAATTCTCTCCCACCAACCCAACTGCACGTCCCCCCTCAGATGTGGGGCTCCCGCCAGCAGAGCCCAGATACCTCTCCTTCCCTAAAGCAGACCTCAACATGTCACTGCCTCCTCTTAAGGAAAATAATAATAACACTTTTTATTTATTTATTTTGAGACAGGGTCTCACTCTGTTGCCCAGGCTGGAGTGCAGTGGCATGATCACAGCTCACTACAGCCTTGGCCTCCCAGGCTCTAGTGATCCTCCCACCTCAGCCTCCCAAGGATCTGGGACCACAGGCACGTGCCACCACACCTGGCTAACTTTAAATAAATTTTTGTAGAGAAGGGATCTTCCTATGTTGTCCAGGCTCATCTTGAACTCCTGAGCTCAAGCAATCCTCCCATCTTGGGCTCCCAAAGTGCTAGGATTATAGGTGTGAGCCACCATGCCTGGCCAATAATGATGATAACTAATTAGGGTGCCCAGTTCATTCTAGCAGCCTCTGACCCATTTTCTATGAAGAAGAGTAAGCTCTTAGGAAGAGAAATCATGAGTTACTTTCTTGCTTATGTTTAAGCCTTCAATGATGCTTGCATGAATTTTATTATGCTTCATAATAAAGTTGCAGCTTTTGTTGTTGTTAGAGTCTCGCTTTGTTGCCCAGGCTGGAGTGCAGTGGTGCAGTCATAGCTCACTGCATCCTCACACTCCTGGCCTCCAGTGATCCTCCTGTCTCAGACTTCTGCATAGCTGGGATTACAGGAGTGAGCCCCAGCACCTGGCTCCTTTTTTTTTGAGATCCGCCTCCTGAGCTCAAGCAATTCTCCCGCCTCAGCCTCCAGAATAGCTGGGATTACAGGCGCGCACCACCACGCCCAGCTAACTTTTGTATTTTTAGTAGAGATGGGGTTTTAACAGGTTGGCCAGGCTGGCCTTGAACTCCTGACCTCAAATGATCCGTCCGCCTCAGCCTCCAAAAGTGTTGAGATTACAGGCATGAGTCATCGCACCCTGCCTATTTATTATTATTATTTTTTTGTGATAGAATCTCACTCTGTCGCTCAGGCTGGAGTGCAGTGGCATGATCACAACTCACTGCAACCTCGACCTCCCAGGCTCAAGTCATCCTCCTGCCTCAGCATCCCAAGTAGCTGAGCCTACAGTCACGCACCACCGTACCTGGCTAAAAAAAAAAAAAAGGCTGGGCACGGTGGCTCACTCTGTAATCCTAGCACTTTGGGAGGCCAAGACGGGCGGATCACTTGAGGTCAGGAGTTCAAAACCAGCCTGGCCAACATGGTGAAACCCCGTCTCTACTAAAAATACAAAAAAATTAGCAGGGCATGGTGGTGCACGCCTGTAATCCCAGCTACTTGGGAGGCTGAGGCAGGAGAATCACTTGAATCCAGGAGGTGGAGGTTGCAGTGAGCCAAATTCCCACCACTGCACTCCAGCCTGGGTGATAAGAGCGAGACTCTGTCTCAAAAGAAAAAGAAAAAAAAAAAAAAAGCTAAGTGACTGGGGTAACAGCATCCCAGAAGTAAACGGCAGAGCTTTAACTTGAATCCAGATCACCATGTTCTAAAGCTATGCTTTTCCCAATCCCATGATATTGCTTCTTTTTGAGTTTTAGTGTCAGGTAGGCCTGGGTGCACATCCCAGTTCCATCACTGATGGCAGCTGTTCAACCTGGAGTAAAACATGAAGACTCTATAAAAAGCAAACCTATTTAACAGTGCTGGGTGAAGACCCAACGAGCTCATGCCCATGAAACATCTGCATAGGGCCTGGCACATAGTAACTGCACAGAGGATGTGGCCAGGTGCGGTGCTCATGCCTGTAATCCCAGCTACTTGGGAGGTTGAGGCAGGAGGATCCCATGAACCCAGGAGTTTGAGACCAGCCTGGGCAAAGTAACAAGACTGTATCTTTTTTTCTTTTCTTTTTTTTTTTTTTTTTTGAGACGGAGTCTCGCTCTGTCGCCCAGGCTGGAGTGCAGTGGCCGGATCTCAGCTCACTGCAAGCTCCGCCTCCCGGGTTTCCGCCATTCTCCTGCCTCAGCCTCCCGAGTAGCTGGGACTACAGGCGCCCGCCACCTCGCCCAGCTAGTTTTTTTGTATTTTTTAGTAGAGACGGGGTTTCACCGTATTAGCCAGGATAGTCTCGATCTCCTGACCTTGTGATCCGCCCATCTCGGCCTCCCAAAGTGCTGAGATTACAGGCTTGAGCCACCATGCCCGGCCTTTCTTTTCTTTTCTTTTCTTTTTTATTTTGAGATGGAATCTCACTCTGTCACCCAGGCTGGAGTGCAATGGCGCGATCTCGGCTCACTGCAACCTCTGCCTCCCGGGTTCAAGCAATTTTCCTGCCTCAGCCTCCCGAATAGCTGGAGTATAGGTGCCTGCCACCACGCCTGGCAAATTTTGTATTTTTAGTAAAGACAGGGTTTCACCATGTTGATCAGGCTGGTCTTGAACCCCTGACCCCAAGTAATCCACCTGCCCTGGCCTCCCAAAGTGCTGGGATTACAAGTGTGAGCCACTGTGCCTGGCCTGGAAGACCATATATTAAAAAAATAAAAATTAGGCCATGCATAGTGGCTCCTGCCTGTAACCCCAGCACTCTGGGAGGCTGAGGAGAAAGCATAGTTTGAGACCAGGAGTTTGAGACCAGCTAGGGCAATATAGCAAGTCCCCATTGCTACGAAAAAAAGAAAAAAAAAAATTAGCCAGCTGTGGTGGCGAGCATTTGTAGTCCCAGCTACCTGGGAGGCTGAGGTGGGAGGATCACTTAAGCCCAACAGTTTGAGGCTGCAGTGAGTTGTGATCACGCCACTGAACTCCAGCCTGAGCAACAAAGAGAGACCCTGTCTCTAAAAAAACCCAACATAAATAAATAAATAAAATATAAACAAAACATAGGATAAGAGCTGGGGTCATCAGGTATGACCCGGGAGCCCCATCTCACCTCAGCACGATCATCTGGCTCTCAGCCCCCACAGCCACGTCTGCCAAGCCGTCCCCTTCAAGGTCCTTCACCCCATGGATGGAGCGTCCAAACCACCGAACTCCTGAGAGCACCTGGGTCCCTTCTATCCGCTGAGAGCAAGAAAGGAATTATCACTAAGTTGAGGAGAGGTAGGTTGGAGGGAGGGAAGGGTCAGGCTGGGGAATGGGGTCTGGGCTTGGGGGCTTAGGGCACCCGAGAATGGAGTGTGATTGGCAGGCAGGATACCTCACCTGACTTGACTGGGGGCTAAGCCCCCCATGCCTCCCATTGAAGATGTACACAGCTCCCTGCTCCTCCAGAGGGGCCCCCACAGCCACGTCCACCAGCCCATCGCCATTGATGTCTGTCAGAGCAGTGATGGCTTCTCCAAAACGCCCGAGTGGGTAGCCAGGGTCCCCCTGCAGCTCTGAGACCTCTTCAAACCCCAACTAGGAAGTAGCAAGAGACAGGTCACACCCAAGTCACTCAGCAAGCTGTCACAGAGCAACTGAGTGAAGAACGCTAAAAATGGTAAGACGGTGTCCCTCCAAGAATTGGAATGGAGCTGTCGGACTAACCAGGGTTCAAGCACCAGCCCAGCCTCTTACTGTCCTCTTACTGTGACCTTGTGGTTTCAGACATCCCCCTGCTGAGCCTTGGGGTTTCCCTTTATATATATACATTTTTTGGATAATTTTTTTTGAGATGGAGTCTTGCTCTGTTGCATTGGCTGGAGTACAGTGGCGTAATCACAGCTCACTACAGCCTCGAACTCCTGAGCTCAAGCAATCCTCCCACCTTAGCCTCCCAAATAGCTGGGACTACAGGCATGTACCACCACATCTGGCTAACTTTAAATTTTTAATTTATTTATTTTTATTTTTGTAGAAACAGGATATTGTCATGTTGCCCAGGCTGGTCTTGAACTCCTGGCTTCAAGCAATCGTCTTGCCTCAGCCTCTCAAAGTGCTGGGATTACACGCATGAGCCACTGCACCCCAGGGATTTCCATTTATAAAATAAAGCTTGTAGTATCTCAGCAGGTAGTTATGAGGAAAGTGAGGTCGTGTCTATAAAAAGTTTGGCGCCGCCTGCCAGGTGCAGCTGTTCACGCCTATAATCCCAGCAGTTTGGAAGGCCGAGGAGGGTGGATCACCTGAGGTCAGGATTAGAGACCAGCCTGGCCAACATGTCAAAATGCTGTCTCTACTAAAAATACAAAAATTAGCTGGGTGTGGTGGCGGGCACCTGTAATCCCAGCACTTTGGGAGGCTGAGGCGGGTGGATCACCTGAAGTCAGGAGTTCAAGACTAGCCTGACCAACATGGCAAAACCCCGTCTCTACTAAAAATACAAAAATTAGCTGAGCATGGAGACACACACCTGTAATCCCAGCTACTCGGGAGGCTGAGGCAGGAGAATCCCTTGAACCCAGGAGGCAGAGGTTGTGGTGAGCATTGATTGCACCACTGCACTCCAGCCTGGGCCACAAGAGCGAGACTCTGTCTCAAAAGGAAAAAGAAATATTGGCACTGGACCCTGCACACAGTCTTTCCCCAGTGAGGATTCGCTATTGCCTCTCTGTCATTCTAAAAGTTTGATCACCACATGACCAGACAGAGAAAGCCTTCAGAATAACTGGGAGCTGCGAATCTCTGCTGCTCCGCCTCCTCCCTCTCAGCCCCAGGTCCTGGCCCCACCTGTTTTCTCTGGTAGATAAACACCCGGCCTCCTCTCTGCTCCCCGTAGAACAGTGGGGCGCCAATCAGCAGCAGCTCTGTCTCCCCATCTTGGTCCACGTCGACGCCGCACAGCTCGCCACCGAAATAAGAGCCAATCTGTGGGGAGAGGCAGGTGTTTGGGGAGACGCCTGTGGGAACAGCAGAGGCTGGCAGGGAGATACCTGTACCGAGTTCATCTTATGCCACTCCCTCAAATGCAGGTTCCAATCCTGGATCCACCCCTAGTCTACGTGCATTAAGACAAGGTGGGCTCTTTGAGGTTGTCTCTTAAACTAGAGAGGGAGATGACAGGGCTTACCTCCGCGTGTTATGAGGGACAAATGTGATGGTGTTTAGCAGTGGGTAAGCACGTAAGTGGATGAGCGTTCAAAGGACAGAAGGGAGTATGACATGTGTCCCTCCAGTCCCTGGTCTGCAGATGCCCTTGGACTGTACGCACCTGGGTCCCATGGATTGTCTGGATCTGGCTCCAGGGTCCTCCGCCCTGTGGCTCTTGGAACAGCAGCACTCGGCCCACGTGCTGGTATCGAGGGGCTCCTGAGGCCAACAACGAAGTCTTTTCCCCGGAGGGCAGCCAGGTCACAGAGTAACCTGAGGAAAGTGTGCGGGGCGTGGAGTTAGGAACAGAGGATGCTGGAAGAACACCCAGCAGGAGAGGGGCAGGGGCCCCAGGGAATTGGGTTAGTAGCAGAGATGCATCAAAACAGCTGAAGACCTTCTCCTGAGAAAAGCAGCCATGTGCTCCCAGCCGACCAAATCCTGCCATCTTGGGGATGGCATTTCTTCAACTGTGGGTGACATGCACACCCAGGGAAAAGCAGCTATGCACCACAAGTGGAGTGTGGAGCCTTTTCTGAGCCTCAGTTTACCTGAGGATTAGTAAGGAAAACTCCATTCTTTCTTCTTTTTTAGAGACAGAGTCTCGCTTTCTTGCCCAGGCTGGAATGCAATGGCGTGTTCTCGGCTCACTGCAACCTCTGCCTCCCGGGTTCAAGCAATTTTCTGCCTCAACCTCCCAAGTAGCTGGGATTACAGGTGCCCAGCCACCACACCCAGATACTTTTTTGTATTTTTAGTAGAAATAGGGTTTTGACATGTTGGCCAGGGTGGTCTCAAACTCCTGGCCTCAGGTGATCCACCTACCTCAGCCTCCCAAAGTGCTGGGGTTACAGGTGTAAGCCACCATGCCTGGCCTCTTTTTTCTTAAATAATAAAATAAAACAGGAGGCTGGGTGCAGTTGCTCACACCTGTAATCCCAGCACTTTGGGAGGCTGAGGAGGGCGGATCACGACAGGAGATTGAGAGAGCATCCTGGCTAACACAGTAAAACCACATCTCTACTAAAAATATGAAAAATTAGCTAGGCATGGTGGCAGGCGCCTGTAGTCTCAGCTACTTGGGAAGCTAAGGCAGGAGAATGACGTGAACCTGGGAGGCGGAGCTTGCAGTGAGCCAAGATCGCGCCACTGCACTCCAGCCTGGGCGACATAGTGAGACTCTGTCTCAAAATAAATAAAATAAAATAAAATAAAATGGGATATATTAGAAGAATGCAAAGTTGGCATGGATATTAAAAATAAAGCATGTCGTCCAGGTGCAGTGGCTCCCGCCTGTAATCCTAACATTTTGGGAAGCCGAGGTAGGAGGATCACTTGAGGCCAGAAGTTTGAGACCAGTCTGGGCAACATAGTGAGACCCCGTCTCTACAAAAAATTACAAAAACTAGCCAGGTGTGGTGGTGCACACCTGTGATCCCAGGTACTAGAGAGGCTGAGAGGCAAAAGGATTGCTTGAACCCAGGAGTTCAAGGCTGCAGTGAACTACGATGGTGCCATTACACTCTAGCCTGGGTGACAGAGTGAGACCCTGTCTCTAACAAAATAAAATAAAGCAGGAAATTTGAAAAATTTTCATGCTTACAGATATCATGCTGGCCAGGCGTGGTGGCACACGCCTGTAGTCCCAGCACTTTGGGAGGCTGAGGTGGGTGGATCACCTGAGGTCAGGAGTTCGAGACCAGCCTGGTCAACATGGTGAAACCCCGTCTCTACTAAAAATACAAAAAATTGACTGGGCATGGTGGCACGCACCTGTAGTCCTGGCTATATGGGAGGCTGAGGCAAGAGAATCACTTGAACCCGGGAGGCGAAGGTTGCAGTGAGCTGAGATTGCACCACTTCACTCCAGCCTAGGCAACAGAGAGACTCAGTCTCGAAAAAAAAAAAAAGATATCATGTCAGTGTCAGGCTGTCTTCATCTTCAACTTCCGGTAACAAGGTTCTTTCCTCTAAGATACCAGGACAATCACTATTGAATGTTCTAGGAAACACTGCAGGAAATTGGACCCAGGCTTGGGCTAGAGACAGGAGCCGCCAGCAGGAATCCTCTGGGATGAGTCACTGACCCCATCTGATGGTCTCTGTGCAGAGAAGTTGAAAGTGAGTGAAGAAAACAGAGCTGGCCAGGGCTCTACAGCACATGGAAGGAAGAGTGAAGAGATGGAACCACTTCCCTATTGTCGTATGGAGTCTGGAAGCACAAGGGTTAAGAACTTCAGATCCTTGAACTCAGTGAGACAAGGTTTAAATCCTAGTGCTACTGTTTCCTAGCTGTGTAGTCTTAAGTACATTGCTTCATGCCTCTGCACTGCCTCAGTTTTCTCATCTACAAAAAGGGAAGAGGCTGGACATTGTGGCTCATGGCTGTAACCTCAGCACTTTGGGAGGCTGAGGCAGGAGGCTTTCTCAAAGTCAGGAGGTCAAGGCAGCAGTGAGCCAAGATGGCGCCACTGCACTCCAGCCTGGGTGACAGAGCGAGACCCTATATCTAAAGAAGAAAAAAGGAACAGTACCAATCTCATGGGGTGTGTTTTGAGAGTTAAATAAGATGCATATATAAAATGCTTAGTGCTATGCTAGTGATAGCTAAACTGAGATCTGAAGGATAGTAGTATAGTAGACACTCAGGATTCTGTTTATTTATCTATCCACATATATGTATATATTTACGTGTGTGGATAGTGGGGTGGGTGTCTAACTAGAGATTAAACATTTTTTCTTTTTTTTTTTGTTTGAAACAGAGTTTTGCTCTGTCACCCAGGCTGGACTGCAGTGGTACAGTCTCAGCTCACTGCAACCTCTGCCTCCTGCGTTCAAGCTATTCTCCTGCCTCAGCTTCCCGAGTAGCTGGGATTACAGGTGCACGCCACCATGCCTCACTAATTTTTTGCATTTTTACTAGAGACGGACTTTCACCATGTTGGCCAGGTTGGTCTCGAACTCCTGACCTCAAATGATCTGCCAACCTCAGCTTCCCAAAGTGCTGGGATTACAGTGTGAGCCACCATGCCCAGCTAGAGATTAAATTTTAGAGTTATTTTTTCTTTTTTTTTTCTTCACCACAGCCTTAACCTCCCAGGCTCAAGTGATCCTCCCATCTCAGCCTCCCAAGTAGCTGGGACCACAGGCATGCACAACCATGCCCAACTAATTTTTTTTTTTTTTTTTTTTTTTTTTGAGACAAAGTCTGTCTCTGTCGCCCAGGCTGGAGTGCAGTAGTGTAATCTCGGCTCACTGTAACTTTCGCCTCCCAGGTTCAGGTGATTCTCCTGCCTCAGCCTCCCAAGTAGCTGGGACTAGAGGTGCGCGTCACCATGTCCAGCTAATTTTTTTGTATTTTTAGTAGAGACAGGGCTTCACCATGTTGGCCAGGTTGGTCTCGAACTCTTGACCTCAGGTAATCTTGGACAATTTAAGAGGAGGAAGCCTCAAAAAGGAGTAGCCAGTCCTCTTACTAATAAGGCAGGTTGTTTAAAAATGTGCCTGGGATTTAATATATAGGTGTGACTGGTGGTATAGAGAGTCACTGTCATTGAAAGAAGTTTACTAGTCACAGTTCCAAGAGGCAGGAGGCACTGGATGCCACGCAGGGCCAGACAGAGAAACACCAGATTAGTGGAGAGGCAGGAGGAGCCAGGGAAGAGCATGGCCCAGAGCTCTTCTTGTGGTTTCCACAAGGAAGGGTGGTAAGTTAGGTTGGCAAGTTCAAGCAAGTTTAGGATTGCACAGTTTGAATAATTTTGGCTGACTCTGGGCTATAGTGGTGGCCTCTGGTTGATTGATGCCTGGCCCTGAGCTGATTTAGGGCAGAGGAACTATTGGCTTGGTGTGTATGGATTAGACAAAGGAGGTGGCTGGGGATATGGGCTTGGAATTGGTTGGTTTGCATATAAAAGGCCTTTTTTTTTTTTTTTTTTTTGAGACGGAGTCTTGCTCTGTCATCTAGGCTGGAGTGCAGTGGCGTGATCCTCAGTCACTGCAACCTCTGCCTCCTGGGTTCAAGAGATACTCTTGCCTCAGCCCCCTGAGTAGCTGGAATTAAAGACACCCGCCATCATGCCCGACTAATTTTTGTATTTTTAATAGAGATGGGGTTTCGCCATGTTGACCAGACTGGTCTCAAACTCCTGACCTCAGGTGATTCACCCACCTCACTCCCAAAGTGCTGGGATTACTGGTGTGAACCGTTGTGCCCGACCCTGTTTTTTGAGACACAGTCTTGCTCTTTTGCCCAGGCTGGTGTGCAGCGGCGTGATCTCCGCTTGCTGCAACCTCCACCTCTCGGGTTCTAATAATTCTCCTGCCTCAGCCTCCAGAATAGCTGGGACTACAGGCATGCACCACCACGCCTGGCTAACTTTTGTATTTTTAGTAGAGACAGGGTTTCACCATGTTGGCCAGGCTGGTCTTGAACTCCTGACCTCAGGTGATCCACATGCTTCAGTCTCCCAAAGTGCTGGGATTAAAGGCGTGAGCCACCATGAGCAGCTACAAGGTATATTCACAGGCAAGTTATTTACTATCTCTAGGAATTCGCCAACCCTGGGAGGCGTAGTCTCTTCAGGATGAGCACAGCCCCAAGATGTTAAAGCATCAGAAAATACAGACAATAAATTATGAATGTTATAGCCATATTTAAACTCTGACTTTGTTCATGCTGGTTGCTTAACTGCTTTCATTATTGTTTTGGAAGCCAGGCTGAGCGACCGTCTGACCCTACAACCAGAAGAACCCAGCAGAAAAGAGAAGTACTCACCCAAATAGCCCGCTCTTACTTCTGGTGTCAACGGTTCGTTCCCAATAAATGTGTCATCCTGCATGTCTGCCTTCAGGTAGAGAAGGCCCCCAGCCCAGTCCTTGGCTCCTACGGCCCCCACGACTGCATGGCCCTGCCCAGGGAAGGAGATGAGCGGGTCAGCTACCCACCGATCCACCCCCCGGAGTCAGCTGCACTCCCTGCAGCTCATTGCTCCAGACCAGCACGCACCCTGCTGAGGTCAGCACTGATGCCGCTGGAGGACAGCTCCATGTTGAAGGAAGTCAGGTCCTGTTTGCTTGTGCCTGGGGAACAAAGCAGAGAACAGGTGAGACCCAACAGCCGTAAATGCAGTGAAAAAAATTAATGGCAGGACAGGGAAGAAGTGAGGTATTTACCTCTGGGTTAAGGTAGAAGGCATGCATGTGAGGGTCAGGCAGACCCAGGGAGTGACTTAATGCTGAGTTGACTTTCTCATGTAATACCCTGGGAGTCCCAGATTTGTTTGTTTTTTGTTTTTGAGACAAGGTCTTGCTCTGTTGCCCAGGTTGGAGTGCAGTGGCGCAATCACAGCCTACTGTAGCCTCAACCTCCCAAGCTCAAGCAATCCTCCCGGCTTAGCCTCCTGGATAGCTGGGACTACAGGCACACACCATCACGCCTGGCTAATTTTTTTTTTTTTTTTTTTTTTGAGATGGCGTCTCTCTCCGTGGCCAAGGCTGTAGTGCAGCAGCGCAATCTCAGCTCACTAAAGCTTCTGCCTCCTGGGTTCAAGCGATTCTCCTGCATGAGCCTCCCAAAGTAGCTGGAATTACAGGTGCACCACCATGCCCAGCTAATTTTTGGATTTTTAGTAGAGATGGGGTTTCACCATGTTGGCCAGGCTGATCTTGAACTCCTGACCTCAGGTGATCCACCCGCCTCGGCCTCCCAATGTGTTGGGACAATGACAGGTGTGAACCACCGTGCCCAGCCTCCAGATTTGAATATCCAATTACTCATCTCCGTGTGTCCAAGACTCAGCTCTTGGTTTCTGCTCTAACTCAGGCTTCTCACGTCAATGAATGGCACTCCCACTCACCTAATGAACCATGCTAAGAAACCAAATCCACCTGCAGTCTTCTCTTTCCCCCATCTCGTCTCCAACACGTCACCAAATCATGATATTCCTGCCTTTGAAATACACCTTCTTTCTGTTTTTTGAGACAGGGACTCGCTGTGTTGCCCAGGCTGGAGTGCAGTGGTGTCATCATAGCTCACTGCAGTCTCAAACTCCTAGGCTCAAGAGATACTCCTGTCTCAGCATCCCAAGTAGCTGGGACTACTGGCATGCACCACTGTGCCTGGCTTATATAGCTTCTCCTTAAGAATGCTTCACTGGCTGGGCGTGGTGGCTTAGACCTGTAATCCCAGCTCTTTGGGAGACCAAGGCGGGCAGATTACCTGAGGTCAGGAGTTCGAGACCAGCCTGGCCAGCATGGTGAAACCCTGTCTCTACTGAAAATACAAAAATTAGCCAGGCATGGTGGGACACGCCTGTAATCCCAGCTACTTGGGAGGCTGAGGTAGGAGAATTGCTTGAGCTTGGGAGGCTCAAAAACAACTGGAGGTTGCAGTGAGCCAAGATCACGCCACTGCTCTCCAGCCTGGCCGACAGAGTGAAACTCTGTCTCAAAAAATAAAAAAGGTCAGGCACAGTGGCTCACACCTGTAATCCTAGCACTTTGGGAGGCTGAGGCGGGTGGATTACCTGAGGTCAGGAGTTCGAGACCAGCCTGGCCAATATGGTGAAACCCTATTTCTACTAAAAATACAACAAAATTATCTGGGTGTGGTGGCAGGCACCTGTACTCCCAGCTACTCGGGAGGCTGAGGCAGGAGAATTGCTTGAACCCAGGAGGCTGAGGTTGCAGTGAGCCAAGATCACGCCACCGCACTCCAGCCTGGGTGACAGAGCAAGACTCTGTCTCAGAAAAAAAAAAAAAAAAAAAAAAAAAAGAATTCTTCATGGACTGGGCGCAGTGGCTTATGCCTGTAATCCCAACGCTTTGTGAGGCTGAGGCAGAAGAATTGCTTGAGCTCAGGAGTTAAAGACCAGCCTGGGAAATATAGTAGAAACTCTGCCTCAGCCAGGCACAGTGGCTCATGCCTGTAATCCCAGCACTATGTGAGGCTGAGGCAGGAGGATTGCTTGAGCCCAGAAGTTCAAGACCTGCTTGGGCAATATAGTAGAAACTCTTGTCTCTACAAAAAAATTTAAAAATTAGCCAGGTGTGGTGGTGTATATCTGTAGTCCCAGCTACTCAGGAGGTCGACGTGGGAGGACTGCTTGAGCCCAGGAGTTTGAGGCTGCAGTGAGCTGTGATCGCGCCACTGCACTCCAGTCTGGGCAACAGAGTGAGTCCCTGTCTCAAAACAACAGCAACAAAAAACTCCTCATGATTTCTCATCAATCTTCACACTGAAATCGAAACTCTTTCTGAGGGTCTGGAAGACACTTACCTCCTTGCCAACCTTCTCTCTCCCTTCCTCACTGCGCTCCGGTCACACTGAACTTTTTCCATTTTCCTGGCATGCTGAGCCCTTTCCCTGCCCCTGGTCTTGCACCTGTGCTTCTCTCTGCCCTCATTCCACCTTCCTCATGTTGCTGTTTGAATCTCATCTTTCATATCTGAGCTTAAAAGCCAGTTGAGAGTGAATTTTTTTTTTTTTTTTTTTAGACAGAGTCTCTGTCACTCAGGCTGGAGTACAGTGGCTGCAACCTCCACCTCCAGGTTCAAGCGATTATCCTGCCTCAGCCTCCCGAGTAGCTGGGACTACAAGCACACACCACCACGCCTGGCTAATTTTTTTAGTAGAGACGGGGTTTGGGGTTTCACTGTGTTAGCCAGGATGATCCTGATCTCCTGACCGCTTGATCCGTAAGCCACCGTGCCCGGCCAGAGAGTGAATTTTTTAAAAAAACATTTTTTAAAAATTCACTTTTCATTTTTATTATTTATTTAGACATGGGGTCTTGCTATGCTGCCCAGACTGGACCATTGCTCTTTTTTTTTTTTTTTTTTTTGAGACAGAATTTTGCTTTCGTCACCCAGGCTGGAGTGCGGTGTCACAATCTCAGCTCACTGTGACCTCTGCCTCCTGGGTTCAAGTGATTCTCCTGCCTTAGCCTCCCAAGTAGCTGGGATTACAGGCACCCGCCGCCACACCCAACTAATTTTTGTATTTTTAATAGAGACTGGGTTTCACCATGTTGGTCAGGCTGGTCTCAAACTCCTGACCTCAAGTGATCCGCCCACCTAGGCCTCCCAGAGTGTTGGGATGACAGGCATGAGCCCCCGCTCTCAGCCCATTGCTTCTTTTTTTTTTTTTTTTTTTTTTTTTTTCTGAGACGGAGTCTCGCTCTGTCACCCAGGCTAGAGTGCAGTGGCATAATCTCGGCTTACTGCAAGCTCCACCTCCCAGGTTCACACCATTCCCCTGCCTCAGCCTCCCGAGTAACTGGGACTACAGGCGCCCGCCGCCACGCCCGGCTAATTTTTTGTATTTTTAGTAGAGACGGGGTTTCACTGTGTTAGCCAGGATGGTCTCGATCTCCTGACCTCGTGATCCAGCCGCGTAGGCCTCCCAAAGTGCTGGGATTACAGGCGTGAGCCACCGCGCCCGGCCAGCCCATGCTTCTTTAACTGAACTGAACACCAAGGCTGTGTCCTAGCAAAGGAGACTTTCCTGTAGGAATCACATATCTTTCAGCCAAGTAAGCTTCCTGGGGAAATGCCCTCCATAACCAGTCCTCCATCTGGTGACCACAATACAAATCTTTTCTTATTCTAGGCCAGGAAAGAAGACTTGTGGGTTCTTCACACTGGCCCCTGCCCGTCTGCCCTTCTGAAGTAATGTGGAGCCTCAGATAAGTGACAGCAAGACATTGAGCAAGAAGGGGGAGGAATTATATTCACTCTGCAGGGCTCAGATCACACCAGCAAGACATAGGTCAGTCCTGGATCAACCTGAGCTCCAGGAGAAGATGGAATTTCAGAAAGAAATATCACAGAGGGCCGGGTGTGGTGGCTCACGCCCATAATCCTAACACTTTAGGAGGCCGAGGCGGGCAGATTGCTTGGGGCCAGGAATTCGAGACCAGCCTGGGCAACATAGTGAGACCCCTGCCTCTACTCAAAGTACCAAATGAAAAAAAAAATTAGCCAGGTGTGGTATCATACACCTATAGTCCCAGCTACTTGGGAGGCTGAGGTGGGAGGATCACCTGATCCTGGAAGGCTAAGGCTGCAGTGAACTGTGATCATGCCACTGTACCCCAGCCTGGGTGACAGAGTGAGACCCTGTGAAAGAAAAGCAAAAAAGAAAAGAGGCCAGGTGCAGAGGCTCTACTAAAAAATACAAAAATACAAAAAATTAGCTGGGCGTGGTGGTGGGCGCCTGTGGTCCCAGCTACTCGGGAGGCTGAGGCAGGAAAATGGCGTGAACCTGGGAAGTGGAGCTTGCAGTGAGCTAAGATCGTGTGACTACACTCCAGCCTGGGCAACAGAGCGAGACTCTGTCTCAAAAAAACCCAAAAAGAATAGAAAAGAAAGAGAAGAGAAAAGAAGAGAAGAGGAGGGGAGGGGAGGGACAGGGAAGGAAGGGAGGAAGGAAGGAAGGAGAGAAAGAAGGAAGAGAAAGGAAGATCACAGAGGCTGCTCCCAAATGACCCTCTCCTAAATTCCTTCTAAAGGTCTGTTTTATTTAGGTAAGCCCTTAGCACAAGATCAGATATTCAGTAAGTGCTTATTATTCTTTGTGTTTCTAATATGATGTCCTAGGGGAGGTCTTTTGTTCTTTTTTTTTTTTTTTTTTTTTTTTTGAGACTGAGTCTCACTCTGTTGCCTACCAGGCTGGAGTGCAATGGCGTGATCTCGGCTCACTGCAACCTCCGCCTCCTGGGTTTAAGCAATTCTCCTGCCTCAGCCCCCTGAGTAGCTGGGATTACAGGCATGTGCCACCATGCCCAGCTAATTTTTGTATTTTTAGTAGAGACGGGGTTTTGCCACGTTGGCCAGGCTGGTCTCGATCTCCTGACTTCAGGTGATCTGCCCGCCTCGGCCTCCCAAAGTGCTGAGATTACAGGTGTGAGCCACCGCGCTCAGCCGTTTTTGTTTTTTGTTTCTTGAAATGGAGTCTTCCTCTGCCACCCAGACTGGAGTGCAGTGGTGCAATCTTGGCTCACTGCGTCCTCTGCCTCCTGAGTTCAAGAGATTCTTGTGCCTCAGCCTCCTGAGTAGCTGGGATTACAGGCACTCACCACCACACCTGGCCATTTTTTGTATTTTTAGTATAGATGGGGTTTCTCCATGTTGCCCAGGCTGGTCTCAAGCTCCTGGGCTCAATTGATCCACCTGCCTCAGCCTCCCAAAGTGCTGGGATTACAGGCGTGATCCGCTGAGCCTGGCCTGATGTCCCAGGGGAATTTCTGTATTCAGCCTCCCGAGCCCTCTCCCAGGGCCTGTCACTCACCCTCAATGGCATAGATCTTCTTCTGCAGCTCAGTGAATAGATCTTTCAGCTTCTCAAATGTGTCCAGAATTTTTACAAACTCGCTCGCAGGTTTTGAGGCAAATTTGTGAAGTGTCTCCTGACTCTCCTTGGTCTGAAAATGCTTTCCAATCTGTGAGGGAGAGGAGAGTGAGGAGCTGAAATCCCCCAAACCTCAGTCCAGTTTGCCATTATTTTCACAAGAGTTTGGCTCCAGGAAGAAAGGGGCCTGGGGTTCAGAAAGAGGAGAGGGAAGGCGAGATGTAGGAAGCAGCCGGGACCCTACCCCGATGATGTAGCGGATGATGTCTTTGGCCGCATCGATGTCGCCACTGTCAGTGGCCTCCCCATCCGTGATGATGATGAGCACTTTGGTGGCATCTGGCCGGGCCCCCAGCTCCTCCCGGAACACCTCTGTCCTGTGTCCAGGAAAGGAGGAGGTGAGAGACTCCCCAAAACCAGGGCCTGAGGTCTCCTTCCCCACCTGCTCATCAAGTCACCGCCATACTGGTTACGCAAAAGCCCTTCCTGGATCTCCCAGGCCGGGATTCCAAGCCTGCAGCAGTCACCTCTAAACCTCCTTGCTGCCACCCCTTTCCTTCTGGACCAGTGGTCCTCACATTGCATCCTGGGCAGTCCAGAGAGTGTCCCAGAGCCCATGGGCAGGAGGAGGAGGTTTTGTGAGGAATGACTCTGGGCTTCCCACCCTCCATTGCAACCACATGGCCACCACTCTTTAATCAGTTACAGATGTTGATCCAAGTGAGATTTCAATGTGGAAGAGAGGGTCCCACAGCTTAAGAAAATTGGGGAGTCACTCTTCCAGAGCAAACTCTTTCAGCACCTCCTCTGCCTTCCCATAGTACCCAGCCCGCCTCCGGATCTCTACTATAGCAGTGAACCCAATGAATTACCAAGACTTCTCTATCAATTTTCCCCCTAAACCATGAGCTCCTCAAGGAAAGGACCATGTTGGATTTGTTGCTGTATCTCTGGCTCCCAGCACAGAGGAGGTGCTTGTGCATGTGAGATGAAGGAGGGAGAACTACTGTTAGAGCTCTTTTAGATTTTGTCTAGCAGGCTTTCTGTTTTTTGCTAAAATCCTCCACCCTCAAAAAAATTTAAAAAATAAACAAAGAAGGGAGAACTGAACACCAGATGGGCCAAGGCTAAAGTTTTCTGTCCTGGGAGTTCCAGACCAGTCTGGGCAACATAGCAAGACCCCAACTCTACAAAGATGAAAACAATTAGCCAGGCATGGTGGTGTGTGATTGTAGTCCCTACTCAGGAGGCTGAGGCAGGAGGTTCGCTTGAGCCCGGGAGTTTAAGGCTACAGTGAGCTAGGATCACGTCACTGCACTCCAGCCTGGGCAACAGAGTGAGACTTGACTCTAAAAAAAAAGAAAAAGAAAATTCCTGCCTTGTCCACAACCTCCCTCTGAGTAAGCTGGGTTGGCCGTAGCTCTTGCTGAAACAGCAGCGAGATGTGAACTGTCTTACCCACGAACACCTGCTATCAAGACCTCTGGTTCTATCTGGATGCAAAATGCTTCTCCAATCTCCATCCACACAGACATGGGCCTATTGCGGGTCCTGTTCATGGATTTCCACCCTGGCTTAGACAACCATTGTCTCTATCTGGATTTTTCAATAGCGTCCTAACTGGACCTATCACTTCTACCCGCCTTTGTCCCCTCTACAGTCTAATATCAACCCCGCAGCCAGAGGGATCTTTTAAAAAACATAAATCAGATCATCACTCTTCTACTCAAAACCTTTAATGACTTCTCATCTTACTCAGAGGAAAGCCAAAGTCCTCACTATGGCCTCCAAGTCACTAACCCATCCAGACCCTCATGATCTCTTCGACCTCATCACCTACTATTTTCCCCCTCTCACTTATTTCTCTCCAGCCACACTGGTGTCCTGGCTCTTCATTTTTAAATTATTTTTTATTTTTTAGAGATAGGATCTTGCTCTGTTGCCCAGGCTGGAGTGCAATGGTGTGATCATAGCTCACTGCAGCTTCAAACTCCTGGCTCATAGGCCCGGTGTGGTGACTCACACCTGTAGTCCCAGCCTCCGAAGTAGCTGGGACTACAGCACTCAAAGTGCTGTAAATCCCAGCACTTTGGGAGGGCAAGGCAGGTGGATCACCTGAGGTCAAGAGTTTGAGACCAGCCTGGCCAACATGGTAAAAGCCCATCTCTACTAAAAATACAAAAAAAATTAGACCGGTATGGGAGCACAGGTCTGTAATCCCAGCTACTTGGGAGGCTGAGGCAGGAGAATGGCTTGAACCTGGGAGTCGGAGGTTACAGTGAGCCGAGATCGTGCCAATGCACTACAGCCTGGGCAACAAGAGCAAAACTCCGTCTCAAAAAACAAAAACAAAAATCAACCAACCAAACAAAAACTTCTGGGCTCAAGAGATCCTCCCACCCCAGCTTCCCAAAGCACTGGGATTACAGATTGTGCACCTGGCTTAGAGTTTCTCTTTTGGATTTAATTAGTACAGAGTAGATTTCTGTTATGTACAACCAAAAGAACCTGCAGTAAAATTGTTCCACTTTAATTCAGACAATAAACTGCCCCTTGCTGTACCTACCTACTGAGTTCCCGTGCCCTGCAGCTGGAAGAGGGTAGATCACCCAGAACAAATGACTGGACACGCGCTCTCCTGCAAAAGGGAACTCACGCGACATAGTTGATGGCACCAAAGGTGTTGGTCAATAGCAACATGTGCTTTACATGCTCCAGCAGAGTATCAGGGTCCTTCTGTTTAACATAATCTGAGAAATCAAATTCCGTTTTGTAGCTTGTGGAAAACTGAACAGCAGCAAACTAGAAAAGGAAGGAAGAAATGATATTCAATTATATATCCCTTTCCATTTGTCTGTTCCAAACTTTTCTTTTCTTTTTTTTTTTTTTTTTTTGAGATGGAGTTTCGCTCTGTTGCTCAGGCTAGAGTGCAGTGGCATGATCTTGGCTCACTGCAACCTCTGCCTCCCGGGTTCCAGCGATTTTTGTGCCTCAGCCTCCCAAGTAGCTGTGATTACAAGCACGTGCCACCACACCTGACTATTTTGTGTGTGTGTGTGTGTATTCTTAGTAGAGACGGTGTTTCACCATATTGGTCAGGCTGGTCTTGAACTCCTGACTTCAGGTGATCCACCTGCCTCGGCCTCCCAAAGTGTGGGATTACAGGCGTGAGCCACAGTGCCCAGCCCCAAACTCTACTTCTTCTTTTTCAAGACAGGGTCTTGTTCTGTCTCCCAGGCTAGAGTGCAGGGCACAACCATAGCTCACTACAGCCTCAGCCTCCCAGGCTCGAGCCATCCTCCCTCATCAGCCTCCGAAGTAGCTGGGACTACAGGCACATGCCACCACACTGGGCTAGCTTTTATTTTTTGTAGAAATGGGGTCTTGCTATGTTGCCTAGGCTGGTCTCGAACTCCTGGCTTCAAGTGATCCTCCCGGCTAAGCCTCCCAATGTGCTGGGATTACAGGTGTGAGCCACTGTGCCTGGCTCAATGTCTTCTTATGCAGGACCTGGGCAACTCAACTCCACATCCTTGCCTTAGATAATTCTTTTGAAAATGAGGCAATATACAAATAAGCACAGAAATAAAACGAAATAAACCTTGCTCCCTCATGTAATACTGTGTGTTGAGCTCCTATTCTCTGGGTCCACCTATGTCACTGACAGGGATGGGTTCCAGTAGCCATATTTCTGCTGAGTGACCCTGCTTAACTAGACACAGTTGGCTGGGCCAGGGATCAACACCTGACTGAAGCTAGGCCAGCCAGAGCTTCTTCTCTGAGAACTGGGAATTTGCAAAGGGAGGCGTTGGCTGAGGGAAAGGTAAAAAGCCCTCTTGGAACTTTAACATGTGAACTTAGGAGCTTTCCATAGGTCCATGTGGTCTAAAGGTGCTAAGGGAGCCAGTCTACAGAGACTGAGAAAAGAGAATAAGGAAGCAAAGACTCAAAAAGAAACAGAAATGAGAACTAGCTGGGCACAGTGGCTCATGCCTGTAACCCCAGCACTTTGGGAGGCCGAGGCAGGAGGATCTCTTGAGATGTCCAGGAGTTTGAGATCAGTCTGGGCAACACAATGATAAACCATCTCTACAGAAAATTTAAAAATTAGCCACGCATGGGCCAGGCGCAGTGGTTCATGCCTGTAATCCCAGCACTTTGGGAGGCCGAGGCGGGCAGATCATGAGGTCAGGAGATTGAGACCATCCTGGCTAACACGGTGAAACTCCATCTCTACTAAAAATACAAAAAATTAGACGGGCATGGTGGTGGGCGCCTGTAGTCCCAGCTACTCCAGAGGCTGAGGCAGGAAAATGGCGTGAACCCGGGAGGCGGAGCTTGCAGTGAGCCAAGATCGCGCCACTGCACTCCAGCCTGGGCGACAAAACGAGACTCCGTCTCAAAAAAATAAATAAAAAATAAAAATAAATAAAAAATAAAAATTAGTCACGCACAGTGGTGCACACGGGTAGTCCCAGCTACTTGGGAGGATCATTTGAGCATAGGAGTTTGAGGCTACAGTGAGCTATGATTGTGTCACTGCATTCCAGCCTTGGGGACACAGTGAGACCCTGTCTCAAAAAGAAAAAAAGGCCGTGCACGGTGACTCATGCCTGTAATCCCACACTTTGGGAGGTCAAGGTGGGTGGATCACAAGGTCAGGAGTTTGAGACCAGCCTGGCCAACATGGTGAAACCCCGTCTCTACTAAAAATACAAAAATCAGCTGGGTATAGTGGCAGGTGCCTGTAATCCCAGCTACTTGGGAGGCTGAGGCAGGAGACTCGCTTGAACCCGGGAGGCGGAGGTTTCAGTGAGTTGAGATCGTGCCATTGCACTCCAGTCTCGGCAACAAGAGTGAAACTCCATCTCAAGAAAAAAAAAAAGGAAATGAGAACTAGAGAGACTCCTAGAAGCCTTCAACTCCCTGGTTCTTATCCCTTCCAGAGGCCCAGTTATAGCCATGCCCATAGGCTCTGAGGATACCACATACTAAAATTTCCTTTCATGGTTTAAGCCATTCTTGGTTGCCTGCAACCAAGAATCCTAACTAGCATTTTTACCTGGTAGGAAGTGTTGCTGAGTTTCTTCATCACATCCTTCATGAAGTCCAGAATTTTCTGAAATTCATCTGGCTGCAAGCTCATCGAACCATCAAACAGAAATACCAGGTCTACGTTGCCCTTGATACATTCTGCAGAGGCCAGACGCAAGGGACCCAATGAAGCATCTCTGGTGTTTGACCGCCCATGCTGGTTCTCCCTAGGGGCAGCCACTTGGAGGTATTTTTACCCACTGAGTCCCCAGTTCCTTACCCTGAAAACCAGGGCGCCCCTGCAGCATGGCACCCTGCAGATTCTGGTGGAAGAGGTAACACAGGCCACTCAGATAGGTGTTCTGGTCACACGTTCGAGACAGCCCAGGGTCACAGGCCTAAAGGAAGCAAAGGCCAAAGATTTGGGTCTCCTATTTGCTATGTGTCTTCTGGGCACCATCAACCAAGAATAAGAACGTTCAGAGTCCTTTCTCACTTCCTCTATCCAACTGGTTACCAAGGCAAGGAATGTGCACCTCCACAGTCTCTAGTGTCCATCCCTCCCATCCTACCAATGCTCTATGCCAATGGATCCTCACCGCCTGTAGGATAAAGTCTGGACTCCTTAGCGGGGCTTACATTGGGCACGACCCCACATTTCCAGGCCTATCTTCTCCTGGTCCCAATCTCTCTTTCTGTGTTCCAGCCGAATCAAATTATCAAGATTCCCAGAATAAAAGGTGTCTCTTTCTTTCTTTTTCCCTTCCCTTTCCTTCCCCCTCCCCTCATTTATTTATTTGTTTGTTTGTTTATTTATTTATTTCTTCTTTCTCTTTTTCTTTTCTTTCTTTTTCTCTCTCTCTTTCTTTCTCCGTCTTCTTTTTTTTTTTTTTTTTTGACAGAGTCTTGCTCTGTCGCCCAGTCTGGAGTGCAGTGGCGTGATCTTGGCTCACTGCAACCTCTGCTTCCCAGGTTCAAGCGATTCTCCTGCCTCAGCTTCCTGAGTAGCTGGAACTACAGGTACCCACCACCATGCCCAGTTAATTTTTGTATTTTTAGTAAAGACGGGGTTTCACCATATTGGCCAGGATGGTCTCAAACTCCTGACCTTGTGTCTGTCCACCTCGGCCTCCCAAAGTGCTGGGATTACAGGAGTGAGCCACTGCACCCGGCCTTTTCTTTCTTTCTTTCCTTCCTTCCTTCCCTCCTCTTTCTTTTTCTTCTTTCTTCCTTCCCTTTTCTTTCCTTCCTCTCTATCTCTCTCTCTCCTCCTCTCCCCTCCCTCCCTCCCTTTTTCCCTCCCTCCCTCCCTCCTTTTTTTCTTTCCTTGCTTTCTTTCTTCTTGGGTCTCACTCTCATTACCCAGGCTGGAGTGCAGTGGCACAATCATGACTCACTGCAGCCTCAACTTCCTGGGCTCAGGTGATCCTCCCACCTCAGCCTCCCAAATAACTGGCACTACAGGCACACGCCACCATGCCCAGCTAATTTTTTTGTAGAGCTGGAGTTTTCCATGTTGCCCAGGCCAGTCTTAAACTCCTAGGCTCAAGCGATCCACCTGCCTCGGCCTCCCAAAGTAATTTCTTTCATTTATGACCCTTTCCTGCCAGATTGCAATTTCTTCAAAGTCTGGGCTCGTATCATGGTCATCTTTTTGTTTTGTTTTGCTTTTGTTTTTTTTAGACACAGGTCTCACTCTGTCTCCCTGGCTAGAGTGTAATGGTGTGATCATAGCTCACTGTAGCCTTGAACTCCTGGCCTCAACTGATCCTCCCGAGTAGCTGGGACTACACACGTGTGCCACCATGCCCAGCTAATGAAAAAAACATTTTTTTTTTTTTTGTAGGGACAGGGTTGACCAGGCTGGTCTTGAACTCCTGGCCTCAATCAATCATCCAGTTTTGGCTTCCCAAAGTGCTGGGGTTACGGGTATAAGCCACCGGCCTGGCCTCATCAACTTTGTATTTCACTCCCCTTCCCCTGTCAGAACCTAGCCTGATGCCTGGCATATAATAGCTAAATAAACAAGTTCTACTTAAACACCGGATCAGTATTTCATTCAGTTTTCTATCTCTCACACAGAAGGATGCTGGCTGGAAACAGCAATGAACTTGGGATCAAATGAGAATTTTATTCAAATCCTGACTTTACCACTTTACAACCACGTGACCTTGGTCAAGTCTCTTAATCCTTTGGTCCTGTTTCCTCGTGTGTGAAATGTGTACACTGATCCCTATCTCATATGAGTGTCTTGCGGGGTTAAAAGAAATAAAGTGACAAGGTGTAGTAGCTCATGCTTGTAATCCCAGCACTTTGGGAGGCCGAGGCGGGCATATCACCTGAGGTCAGGAGTTCGAGACCAGCCTGACCAACATGGTGAAATTCCATCTCTACTAAAAATACAAAAATTAGCCGGGTATGGTGGCATACGCCTGTAATCCCAGCTACTCTGGAGGCTGAGGCAGGAGAATCATTTGAACTCGGGAGGCAGAATTTGCAGTGAACCAAGATCATGCCACTGCAATCCAGCCGGGGTGACAAGAGTGAAACTCTGTCTCAAAAAAAAAAAAAAAAAAAAAAAAGCAGTGTTTCCTAAACTTTAGGCATTAGTGTAATACTTCACAATATCTGCCATATGAGCATACTTTTATTTTCTTAATAGTTTCCTTTAAATTTTTGTTTAACTTCAGCCTTCCTAAGCAATATGATGTAGGAAATTATAAATTTGATGTGCTTGTCATAGATTTTTTTTCTAATAAGCCACTAAAGAAATTTATAACCATGAAAACATTAAAAGCTTGTATACCACTAAAAATCATATTGCATATCAATGATCACAGATATTTCATATCTGGAAGAAAAATGAGGTAAGTTCTTGAAAATAGCTGGCTCTGCTGGGTGTGGTGACTCACACCTGTAATCCCAACACTTTGGGAAGCTGAGGCAGGAGGATTCTTCAGCTCAAGACCAGTCTGGGCAACATGGTGACACTCTCTCTCTACAAAAAATATAAAAATTAGCTGGGCGTGATAGCATGCACCTATAGTCCCAGCTAATTGGGAGGCTGAGGCGGGAGGATTACTTGAGCACAGGGAGGTTGAGGCTACAGTGAGGCTGTGATCATGCCACTGCACTCCAGCCTGGGCAATAGAATAATAGAATGAGACCTTGTCTCAAAAACAAAAAAGCTGGCTCATCATTGGTTCTCAATAAACACTAATTGACTCTGATGCCTTTGACTGTCTGTGGGAACTTTTGTCCACATTCTTCCTCTTTTCTTCTCTCATTACTTGGATCGAGCTTCACAGGCTCTGATAACACCACTGTACAAAATTCTTACCAAAACGCTTCCATCTGTGGGATCTGTTGCCAAGGTCATTCCCAAGTACTTGGAGGTATAGTTGGAACCTGTAGGCACCAGAAAGTTGATCTGGAGGAGCTCAGGCAATCTAGGTGGGCTGGGGCCAGCCTCAGATTCCCCAAGATCCCATTCTTCCCAGCTCACCCCCCAGTTACTCACCTCTCAGGCTGACTGGCAGGCAGTGTCCTGTGCCCGACTGGCACTGATAGAGGCTTCCCGTGCTGTTCCCCTCCCCTGGAGCTCCCACGATGACCCTGGGGAGAAATCTCACCTGTGAGAGGGAGTGGCCCAGATCTGTACCCACCTCCTCCTGCCTGCTCAGGAGGTTCAGATCTCCCGCCTCATCTCTCCAAACACTGCAACCATTCCCCTTCAAGAAGGTGCCTGCGGCCGGGCGGGGTGGCTCATGCCTGTAACTTTGGCATGAGGCCAAGGTACTTTGGGAGGCCGACATGGGCAGATCACCTGAGGTCAGGAATTTGAGACTAGCCTGGCCAATATGGTGAAACCCTGTCTCTACTAAAAATACAAAAATTAGCCCGGCATAGTGGCGCATGCCTGTAATCCCAGCTATTCAGGAGGCTGAGGCAGGAGAATGGCTTGAACCTGGGAGGCAGAGATTGCAGTGAGCCGAGATCTAACCGTTGCACTACAGCCTGGGTAACAAGAGCAAAACTCCGTGTCAAACAGAAAAAAAAAAAAAAAAAAAAAAAAAAAAAAAAAAAAGGAAGGTGCCTCCATCCTCACCTCTTCCCTACAGAATCCCAGAGAAATAATTCCAAATGCCAAAATCCTAGAAAATTAAGGTTCCTTTGCATTTACAGTCTTTGAGGCCCAGAGAATGATCCGCCAGAATGTCTCATGACAGGTTCATTCATTCAGTGCTTGATTCAAAAGCCATTCGTGGCTTACCTACTGTGTGCTGGGCGGTGGTATATCTAAGAAGGGTTAGTAAGAGAGAACAAACTCCTGGCTTCCAGGCACTCGCAGGGAAGTAAGGGAGTGTCAGGAACCTACTGGGCAATGCGAAGTGTTTGGGGGCTGGGATCCTTCCCTGTTCTGCACTTCCATGGCCTCCCTGATCGCCTGTGTCCCGCTTTTTGATCCCTCACTCCTATCTCTGAGGATTCCCACCCACCACAGGCTCCTCCAGACGGGAACCCCTGGAGAGCCGCCCCTTGGGGGCTGCCCTAGGGCGGGCATCAGGAGGAGGATTTGAGGGGCACAGCTCACCCGTTTCCGACCTGCAGGACGCGGTATCCAAAGTGCCTCCCGGCGCGCGGTGGGGAGAAGCTCCGCGCGCCCCGCACGTCCAGGTTGTAGCTCGAGGCCGGCGCTGAGGAAGGCAAGGGGCGTCAGCTGCGACCCAGGGACCCCCGCCCTGCACGTGCCCGGCAGGTGGCCGATCCCAGGCCCACCTGGCTCTCGCTCCCCAGGCCGCCCGCACCCAGGCGGGCAGAGCGGACCCGCGCCCTGCGCTTCCCCTCCAGGGCGTTAACTTTGGGGAATATGGAAGGAGCAACTCCCGGCCCCTCTAGAGCTCTGAAAGCTCTTCCCAGGGCCTGAGAACACAACTTCCCGTTTGGCCTCTCTGCAAAGAAGGAAGGATGAGAAGTTAGAGGCTCCAGAGAGAGGAGCAGACCCAAGGGGCCCCAAGGCAGAGGGTGGCCAAGTTCCCAGGCAGAGGCCAAGATGGGGATGCCCCAGGGCCGGGTGCGCCTCTGCCACCCACTTCTGCGGTCATGGGGCCCAGGCGCCTCCTCCCACAGTCTCAGATTGTAGCTCCCCTGATCCCTGGGGGGCTGCCTTCCCACCCCACAGGGCCAGTCTTTTGGAGCGCGGGTAGATCCCAGCCCCCTTCCCCCTCAGTCGGCCTGCCCAGGCGCCCTGGCACACCCAGGCTGTCCTTTCCGCCCTGCTTTCTCTCCCGCCGTGGAGTTTAGTTCAGAGCATCCTAGAATGTCATGGAGGCCAGGCCTTCATTTGTTTAGATGAAGAGTGTGGGGCTGGAAAGGGGAAAGGACTTGCCTAAAACGCACAGAGGTGGTACCACGGGTGGCCCTAGAACCCAGCACCCTCCTCCCAGCTTTAGCTACTCATTAACTATCTGCCTTTTGTTTGTTTGTTGTTTAAGAGACAGGGTCTTGCTCTGTCATCCAGGCTAGAGTGCATTGGCACAAGCTTGGCTCACTGCAACCTCCGCCTCCTGGAATCAAATGATTCTCATGCCTCAGCCTCCCAAGTAGCTGGGATTACAGGCCTGTACCACCAGGCCCAGCTAATTTTACTGTATTTTTAGTAGAGATGAGGTTTTTGCCATGTTGGCCAGTCTGGTCTCAAATTCCTGGCCTCAAGTAATCTGCCCACCTTAGCCTCCTAAAGTGCTGGGATTACAGACGTGAGCCACAGCACCCGGCCCCATCTGCCTTTTTAAAGAACCCACTGCCCCTTCTTATGTTCCCTTCTCTATCTTTGCCTCCACCCCTTGCCTATTTATTTCTTTTCTTTCCCCATTCCCCACTTTCTCCTTCCAAGATCCCTGGGCCAATTCCACTTTTAGGGGGCAGCTCCTTGTTTACTCCAGCTCCACCAAGCTCTGCAGTTTCTCTGGTCACAGACACATGTCCCTTCCCCTGCCTCCTCCCTTGCCTACCGAAGAAAAAGAACCCAGACAGCAGCGCCATGGTCATCACGGTGATGCAGGAATCCTTCATCCTTCCAGCACTCAACGGACCTGTGTCCCCAGGGGCAGCGTCAGGAGGCCCGTGGGATTTGCTGGCAACCTAGACAGGGTGAAAGAGGAAAATGATCATGCCCTTTGGCCTCTTACAATGGTACTTTCTCACAGAAGCACTAGGCTGGTGACACTGGCAGGCGGGGAGGGAGGCGTGCCTGCAGGAGTTGTGAAACCGCAAGGGTTCAGGGAGGAAGTGTAAGCAAGTTAGAGACATTTCCTGTGCCTGCTTGCATTTTCACATCATCCAAAAGCTGACAGCATAGCAGGGAGATGACTGTCTCCACTGCTGACATGGTTTCTCACTAACATCCCCCCTAAGGGCTCTGTAAAGCTCAGCAGAGGACTAGTCCAATAAATGGTGGCAAAATTACAATGGAATGCTATGCAGCAGTGAAAAAGAATGAGGGAAGGAAAATAAAACAGGGGGAGAAAGATGTACGTGAACCACTATTAAAGAAAAGAATGGATTACAGAACAGTGTATTTAGTGACCCATTTTGGTTCTAAAATGCAAAATCTAAAGAATTGGAGGCTGGGTTCAGTGGCTCACTGACTGTAATCCCAGCACTGTGGGACTTCAGGAGGTGGAGGTAAGAGGATGGCCTGAAGCCAGGAATCAAGACCAGCCTGGGCAACAAAGTGAAACTTTGTCTTTTAAAAAAAAAAAAATTGGAGAAAATATTTGCAAATCATATATCTAATAAGGGATTTGTCTCCAGAATATATTTTTTAAAACTCTTATAATTCAACAATAAAAAGACAAATAACCACTTTTTTGTTTTGTTTTGTTTTAAATCTTTTTTAGGCCGGGCGCGGTGGCTCAAGCCTGTAATCCCAGCACTTTGGGAGGCCGAGACGGGCGGATCACGAGGTCAGGAGATCGAGACCATCCTGGCTAACACGGTGAAACCCCGTCTCTATTAAGAAATACAAAAAAAACTAGCCGGGCGAGGTGGCGGGCGCCTCTAGTCCCAGCTACTCGGGAGGCTGAGGCCGGAGAATGGCGTGAACCCGGGAGGCGGAGCTTGCAGTGAGCTGAGATCCGGCCACTGCACTCCAGCCTGGGTGACAGAGCGAGACTCCGTCTCAAAAAAAAAAAAAAATAAATAAATAAATTTTTTGAGACAAGGTCTTGCTCTGTCACCCAAGTGAGAGTGCAGTGGCGCGATCACAGCTCACTGCAACTTTGAACTCCCAGAGTCAAGCAGTCCTCCCACCTCTGCTCCTAAGTAGCTGGAACCACAGATGCATGCCACCACGCCTGGCTAATTTTTCTTTTTTGAGATGGTTTCTCACTATGTTGCCCAGGCTGATCTTGAACTCCTATGCTCAAGTAATCCTCCTGCCTCAGCCTCTCAAAGTGCTGGGATTACAGGTATGAGCCACTGTGCCCAGTTTATTTTTATTTATTTGTTTTAGGCTAGTGAAGTGAAGCAGAGGCAGTGCAGAAGGAACAAAGGTATTAGTAACTGGTTGTGCTCAATTAGTTTTAAATGGCCAGGTGCGGTGGCTCACACCTCTAATCCCAGCCCTGTGGGAGCCCGAGCCAGGTGGATCACCTGAGGTCAGGAGTTCGAGACCAGCCTGGCCAACATGGTGAAACCCCCGTCTCTACTAAAATTACAAAAATTAGCCAGGCGTGGTGGCACATGCCTGTAATTCCAGCTACTTGAGAGGCTGAGGCAGGAGAATTGCTTGAACCCAGGAGATGGAGGTTGTAGTGAGCCAAGATCTCACCGTTGCACTCCAGCCTGGGCGACAGAGTGAGACTCTGTCTCAAAAAAAAAAAAAAAAATTAGTTTTAAACACGACTGCACTCAGACCAACCTACCTAAGTTTCTAAATGAGCAAAGGGGTTGAGTAGACATTTCTCCAATGACATATAAATGGCCAACATGCACATGAAATGATACTCAACATTATTAGTCATTAGAGAAATGCAAATCAAAACCACAGTGAGATACCCTTTACACCTACTTGGATGGTTAGAGTTTAAAACAAAGGAAATAAGAGTTAGTGAAGATGTGAAGAAATTGGAGGCCAAACGCATTGCTGGAAGAAATGTAAAATGGTGTGGATGCTGTGCAAAACACTTTGATGGTTCTTTTTTTTTTTGAGAGAGGCTTGCCTAGGCTAGAGTGCAGTGGTGTGGTCTCGGCTCTCTGCAGCCTCAACCTTACTGGTTCGAGTCATTCTCCCACCTCAGCCTCTTGAGTAGCTGGAACTACAGATGCAGGCCACCACACCTGACTAATTTTTTATATTTTGTAGACATGGGGGTCTCTCTACCTTGCCCAGGCTGGTCTTGAATTTCTGAGCTCAAATGATTTGCCCGCCTCAGCCTCCCGAAGTGTTGGGATTGCACCTAGCCCAACAGTTCTTTTAAAAAGTTAAACATAGGCCGGGCATGGTGGCTCATCCCTGTAATCCCAGCACTTTGGGAGGCTGAGGTGAGAAATCCTGAGTTCAGGAGTTCGAGACCAGCCTGGGCAACATGGAAAAACCCCGTCTCTACTAAAAGTACAAAAATTATCTGGGTGTGGTGGTGCATCCTGTAGTCCCAGCTACTCGCGAGGCTGAGGCGGGAGAATTGCTTGAACCTGGGAGGCAGAGGTTGCAGTGAGCTGAGATCACACCACTGTACTCCAGCCTGGGAAACAGAGTGAGACTCCATCTCAGGAAACAAAAACAGAAAGTTAAACATAGAGTTACTATATGACCCAGAAGTTCTCCTCCTAGGTATATACCCCAAAGAATTGAAATCATATGTTCCTACAAAAACTTATACATGTATGCTCATAGCAGTATCAATAATGACTCATACTAGCCCCAAACTGGAAACAACCCACATGTCTATCAACTGACAAATGGATGAACAAAATAGGGCATAGCCATGCAATGTAATATTATTTGCCTATAAAAAAGAATCAGGCCAGGCGCAGTGATTCATGCCTGTAGTCCCAGCACTTTGGGAGACCAAGGCAGGTAAATCAGCTGAGGTCAGGAGTTTGAGACCAGCCTGGCCGACATGGTGAAACCCCGTCTCTATTAAAAATACAAAAATTAGCCAGGGGTGGTGGCACGGCCTATAGTCCCAGCTACTTGGGAGGCTGAGGCAGGAGAATCGCTTGAACCCAGAGGCAGAGGTTGCCGTGAGTGGCGATCATACCACTGCACTCCTGCCTGGGTGATGGAGTGAGACTCCATCTCAAAAAAAAAAAAAAAAAAAAAAAGAGTACTAGTACATACTACTATATGAGTAAGCCTTGAAAATATGCTTAGTGAAAGAAGGCAGCAAAGAAAAATCACATATGGTCTGACTCCAGTAAGTGAAATATCCAGAACAGGCAAATATAGAGAGACAGAAAGCAGGTTGGTGCTTGCCGTGAAAATGGAGGCTAGGGAGTGAGTACTAATGGGCATAGGGTTTCATTTTAGGTGATGAAATGTTCTGGAAATAGACTGTGGTAATGATTGCACAATTTCGTGAATCTATTTAAAAACCACTGAATTCTATACTTTTTTTTTTTTTAATTTTTGATATAGGATCTTGTTCTGTCACCCAGGCTGGTGTGCAGTGGTGCAATCATGGCTCACTGCAGCCTCGACTTCCCTGGCTCAAGCAATCCTCCCACCTCACCCTCCCAAGTAGCTGGAACTACAGGTGTGTGCCACCACACCCAACTAACTTTTGTATTTTTTGTAGAGACAGGATTTCACTATGTTGTCTAGGCTGGTCTCAAACTCCTGGGCTCAATTGATCCTCTCTCCTTAGCCTCCCAAAGTGCTGGGATTACAGCCACTGTGCCTGGTGAATTGTATACTTTAGAATGGTGAGTCTTATGGTATGTGAATTGTATCTCAATAAAAAATAAACATGAAATTATATATGTATGTACATATTTGTTAAATTGGAAAGGATATACAACTGTACTTTAAACAGTGGTTAGCTCTGCAGAATGAGGTTTATACATTTCTATATGGTCTGCATATTTTTTTACAACGAGGACGTATAACTTTACCATTTAAAAAAATTAGCTAGGCGTGGTGGCTCACACCTGTAATCCCAGCACTTTGGGAGACCGAGGCGGGCGGAACCCCTGAGGTCAGGAGTTTGAGACCAGTCTGGCCAACATGGTGAAACCCCGCCTCTACTAAAAATACAAAAATTAGCTGGGCATGGTGGCGTGTGCCTGTAATCCCAGCCACTTGGGAGGCTGAGGCAGGAGAATAGCTTAAATCTAGGAGGCGGAGGTTGCAGTGAGACGAGATCGCGCCATTGCACTCCAGCCTGGGCGACAGGGCAAGACTCTATCTCAAAAAAAAAAAACAAAAACCCTGGGCACCATGGCTTATGCCTGTAATCCCAGCACTTTGGGAGGCCAAGTTGGGTGGATCACCTGAGGTCGGGAGTTCAAGACCAGCCTGACCAACATGGAGAAACCCTGTCTCTACTAAAAATACAAAATTAGCCAGGTGTGGTGGCGCATGCCTGTAATCCCAGTTACTCAGGAGGCTGAGGCAGGAGAATCACTTGAACCCAGGAGGTGGAGGTTGCAGGGAGCCCAGAGTGCACCATTGCACTCCAGTCTGGGCAACAGGAGCGAGACTCTGTCTCGGAAAAAAAAAAAAAAAAAAAAAATTAAACTACCTTTAAAAAGCATAAAAATATTAGCCAGGCATGGTGGCTTACACCTGTAATTGCAGCCCTTTGGGAAGCCAAGGTGGGAGGATTGCTTGAGCTCAGGAGTTTGAGACCAGCCTGGGCAACTTAGCAAGACCTCGTGTCTACTAAAAATAAAAATAAAAAATTAGCCAAGCGTGCTGGTGTATGCCTGTAGTCCTAGCTACTTGGGAAACTGACGTGGGAGGATCACTTGAGCCCAGGTGGTAGAGGCTGCAGTGAGCTGTGATCAGACCACTGCACTGCAGCCTGGGTGACAGAGCAATACCCTATCTTTATACACAAACAAGCAAACAAACCAAAACATAAAAATATTTAAAACACAACAGAGTAAGGAACTGTATTCGTTTATAAGAAATTGGGAAGGATCTTCAGATTCTCCCTGTGCTGTGAAGAAATCCTGTTCAACCTGCAAAGACGTCATTGCCCTGAGGAAGCCTTTTTCAGGCAGATTATCTATTATCTGTACT